GTTTTATACGATTTGGTGTTGAGGTCCCTCACATGCGTAATATGCACTCAACAAAGAGAACCGATTTTCACCAAATTTGAAGTACTACTTTCTAGGACGAATTCAGTCGTAATTGCCAAAATTCGGTCCATTTGTTCTGTTATTAGCCATTTGATGCACAATAATCCTAATATCAGATAAGAATATATATGGGAGCTATATCCCAATCTGTACCGATCTCGATAAAATTTGACAGAGGTATTTTCGAGCAATATCTGATGTCCGGTGCCAAATATCATTCTTGTTTGAGGTCAATAGGACTTATATTGGCCAATTGGTGCACTATTATCTAAATCCGATCCGATTATCACCAATTTCAATAGTGTTCGTCCTTGGGCCAAACAAATATTGTTTGCAAAATTTTATATTAATCGGATAATAAATGCGACCTGCATTTTGTTCACAAAAATACATGGACGGGTGGACGGACTAACATGCAGAAATCGACTCAGAAAGTGATTCTATGAATATCCTCAAAAGTAACTATGGGTCTATCTCGCTTCCTTCTCCCTGTTACAAACAACTACGCCACTATGTGGTGCAAGGTATAAAAATTGTTTTTTTTTTTTTTAAATTTCTTATGGAAAGAAGCAGGTCTCGAGGTTTCTTATATATCCCTTATGTGAATTTCTCCTTTATAATTTTTAAAACTAAAAAGCGTCTTTAAAATCTTTTAATACAAAAGACACCTTACTGAACCCTTTTTATTTTTTTTATATTTTATAAAACCTTTTATTGGTTTTCTAACATGAACTTCCGTTTGGCGCCGTCTCTTTAATTTTTTCACAGGGAATAACATGAATGTTTCATTGGCCTTGCCATCATTTCCGAAAAACCCCAGCTTTCATTCAGAAAAAAAAATTAAAATAAAAACCTGTTATTTCTCTCAATATAAATCAGATCAATAATATTTTTATGTTCGATATTTTGAAATAATCAATTATTCGAATTGACATTTTAATGGCAATCACAACAAAACAAACTCAATAATTCACTTTAAATGATCTTTTGACCATATATGCATAAATATATATATATATATATATAAAAATGTTCTGGTTTTATTGTAACATTTTTTTTAATCGTTACAATTTTTTGTGTCGCACAACATGTTTAACGGCGCCTGGGTAAAACATAACACAACACAACCTAACCCAAACACAGCGATCGTTCAGCGGACAATCAACCGATCTGTCTTAATTTAAATAAAATTGAATTGATTCTTAGCCAAGAGGAGGCTTCGATGTTGCTTTGGTTGTATACCACCACCACCACGAATACTGCCGCTGTCACTTGGCACTACTCACAGAAAACTTCGTACCTGACTTGAACACACCGGTTGGATGGTTCGTGTCTCATGTTACGAAGGCGACATTTAGGCTTGATAATATTTATGCTAATTGAGTAATTTGTTTTTATGACAAAAAATTGTATTTTTATAGGAAATTTTCGAAAGGTAGATTTTCCACAAAGCGGCTTACGGTCAAGTGGGCTTGTTTTGATCGTTGCTGTCATCATCCTCATTGTTTTCTGGTCGATGTTTTCTCTTAGAATAGCGGCTGATATGACAGTGTCAGAATTATTTGATTGTCAACCGATGAAACATTGTCAATGGGTGGACAACGCGACTGCCAACTGTTGTCTGCCGGATGATCGTGGCGTCCATGCAAATGGCGTCGGTGTCGGTTGGCGGCTTTTGTTTGTAGATTCGAAATTAACTGTTGAATATTACCATTGTTATATGGTCATAATCGAATTATGATGGTTACATAAAAGTTGAGTGACCTTTTAGCGGAGGGTGTTAGAATTATGATAACTTAAGTCCATTAAGTTAAGAAAATATTTATGAATTTTCGTGCATAGAGATATTTCATCTACAAACGATCTGCAATATTTTATCTATCTTTTCATGGACTTTAAAAAAACAGAATTTTTCCCCACTCTAAAGCGAGCAAAACTTGCTCACCTTTATTCAAGCGACATCGAAAAATAAACTATTCTCGTTTAAGTTTTCTATTCCCATGAGTGCTCCCGCGAGTAATTTTAGTTTACTCATGAAAGAAGAGCTAAAAATTGAAGACACGAGTATCGGCGTTTTGAAAGTTTACATCGCAAAGCAATTTAATTAGAGTGGCGCTTTTCTACATTTTTTAAGATTTTCGGATAAAGATTCCTTGGAATCCGTTCATTTTAGATATATAACGTCCTCGGAAATATTGAAGATTACATTACAAAACACGAAAATAATTCCTAATTTTTTAACAAATTTTCCTCTGTCTTTCTATACTCTACACCACAGTGGTAAGGTTATTATATCTTTGTGCATTTGTTTGTGACATGGAGAAGGAAGCGAGATAGACCCATAGTAACTTTTGAGTATCTTCATATAATCACTTTCTGAGTTGATTTATGCATGTCAGTCTGTCCGTCCGTCTGTTCATGTATTCTTGTGAACAAAATGCAGGTCGCATTTATTAACCGATTAAGATGAAAATTTCCAAACAATATTTGTTTGACCCAAGGAAGAGCCCTTTTGAAATTGGTGATAACCAGATCAGATTTAGATATAGCTCCCATATATCCTCAACCGATTTCGGGTTAATTGTGCACCAAATGGCCAATATCTGTCGAAATTATCTGAATTTTGGTACATGCCCGAAAGAAAATACCCCTGTCAAATTTTATCGAGATCGGTTCAGATTAAGATATAGCTCCCATATATATCAGTCCAAAAGTCTTGAATTTTGGTACATCCGATCGGATTTAGTCTGGAAACAAGTACATCGAATTCGGAGAAAATCGATTCGGATATAGCTATAGCTCCCCTATATAGGTTCCATCCGATTTGGTGTTTAAGTCCCCCACATTCGTAATATGCATTCGACAAAAATTATGTTTGGTATCAGATATCAGATGCAGCCTAAAATACCTCGCAGCCTAAAAATATCAGATGCAACCTAAAAATACCTAGAAATAATTAGATTTGGTGAAAATCGGTTCAGATATAGATATAGCTCCCATATAAATGTTTCATTCGATTTGGTGTTAAAGTCTCTCACATTCGAAATATACACTCCACAGGAATGATATTATGTACCGGATATCATATCTGCCTAATTGTATCAAGATCGGTTCAGATTTGGATATAGCTCCCATATATATCTTCAACCGATTTCGGGTTAATTGTTCACCAAATAGCCAATACCAGTCCAAATGACCTAATTTTGGCACATCCTAGAAATAAGTACATTTGGTGAAAATCGGTTCAGAGCTCGGAAATACGTTTGGCAATTTTCTTCGAGATCAGCTAAGATTTGGATATAACTTCCATATACATATATCCTTAATCCGATTATTGCGCAAATAATGGCTAATATCAGCCCAAATGGAGCCCGACTTTTGACATTCCTTTGCTGGTTTCGAGATGATAAAGTGCCAGGAAAAGAAATGTGTTATAAAAAATGTTATTATAATTCTCAGAATAAACGATATATCTAGGTTAGATAGTTTTCAACAAAATCATATTCGAAATTTATGTATTACAATTAAAAATTATAAATTTGGGTTATATGCTGCAAATATAATATGATTCCAATTTAAGTCAAAATCTCCCTTAATAATCTCTGAACAAACAAAAATTGTTTATTTAATATTTACTATAGACTAGTACCCCTAATTTTAGATTATAAAAGAAATTCATTTACTTTCGACCAAAAACCGTTGACCTACCTTTACACCTACATATATTTTCACTGCAAAGTTTTCTTATAATTTCACTTTCCATTATACAGCCTAGATTGTGGCAAATTTCATGTGAATTTGACAGTACTAGTTGGTAGTAGTATATTAAAAAACTTCTGTCGGAAGGTTTTCTCCACCTTTTTTCCTAAGAAGTTTAAATAGAATTCATTTCAAGAAGAAATACACCCAACCAACATCCGCCTAACGGACCACCAACATAAAAATAATTCATAATTATGATTAAAATATTAATTATTACACAAATAATTCTGAACACCAAACTGAGAACCTCTTTAAAATCGATAAAAATTATTTTTCTACATAATTTTCCATAGAATTTAAATGATTTTTTTTTTTAAAAATTCATAAAAAAAACAAATATTTTACAATGCACTCTCATAGCCTCGATGTGTACGGGTATGTGCGCTACTTGCCTTGTGGCTGGCTGGCTGGCCCAGTCGCCTTGCCGGCCTAACTTAATTAATAATTCCGCACACATCGAACTGCATTAAAAACACAATGGAAACTAAGAAGAATGAGTGAATGAAGAAAAACAAATAAAACACAAAGAATTACAAACAAACAAACAACAACAATAGCAACAAAGTGGCTACTAATTCCCAAACTCCAGCCACTTGCTATTGCCACAGCATGCCAAGCAGTCAGTGGGACGACGGCGTAGACAGAGAAAATAATAGAATCCAAGCCATTGCCACAACTAAAATGTCATAGATTTTGCTTTTGTTTTGGTTCTAAGTTTTCCATTCTTGGAATAAATGAATGCATCCATTGGTGGTGGTGGTGGTTATGACGTTGATGATGATGTTTGGAGATAGAAATGAAAAACTCATAAAACATGGACTAACTAACAAATACAGACACACAAACTAATAAATTATTGTGTAATTCGTTCTGTTATCACCGAAAGAAATCAAATTATTCCATCTGCATTAATTGTTGTTGCCTTGGAATCCCAAAACATGCCAACAACCAACATGTTTGATGGTGATAAGGAAGGAACAACCAAAAAGTTGTAATGCATCAAACTACTGCATTATCGCAAGCATGTCAAGTGTGTTCCATTACCATTTCGTCTCTCTCCCACTCACACACATGCCATCATACATGTTTGAAGCGTAAATTACTCTTTCTCTTAGTTGTTTTGATTGTGTTTCTCATTTTTCTGTTTTCTCACTGTCTCCTGTTTTGTTTCATTCCAGTTGTCGTTGGTCCAATTGTCACCCACAGATGTAAATGGCCGCAGCATTCGTCTGGAAATGAAAAAGTACTGCCCTTCAATGCAATTGGAGTTTTGGTCTTGTATGAATAGAACGTTAGAAGGTAAGTTACTGTGAACTTCATACCGTCATAACACAATAACAATGCCAACCAAGTTAGTTAGGGATGTCATGGTGTGAATTCGCTTCGTAACGTTACAATGTAAAAATGAATTAGCACAAATTATTTTCGAATTTTTATATGAGCAGATCGATAAATTGGAAAAAAGGCTATCTGCCATAGATACATTTTTATACCATATACCACACTGTGGCACTGGAAATTATGTATTTATGTATTTATTTGTATTATGCAGAAGGAAACGAAATCGTTCTTTTAAACCACATTCAAAAGTAGATTTTTAACAAAGTTAACTTCTAGAGTATCAAGTTTTCCAAAAATATAATATAAGTGCCAATGAAGCAGATCTATTATGAATAATTTTTAGCACGTTTTACATAATACAGTTCCTTATACCCCCATACATCCGCCTCTTCGAAGTAACGTCTTATACGAAACAAGTTAGTAAGCTGCATTCGGTGTTCCGATTGATTCATAATCTCACATCGTAATATTATTATCAAACGTAGATCGAGTTCGGAAATTGGCAAAATCGGTCCACTCCAGCAAGTACCTCCCCCACAAAGGGTCAAATTTTTGAATAATTATAACTTTTATAAAATGTGACGTAAAAGTCCGATTGTCTCCAAATTACGCAGATCACTATTTTTTTATTAACCCAATGTCTGGCGTGTAGATAAAATATATCTGTCCACTCCTTCTGGTACCTCCCCCACAAATGGTCAACATTTTGAATATCCATGAAGCTCATAATACGCGAAATTAACATATGATTCCATTCAGATTGGCCACATCTCAATATTTTTGTCAACACAAGATCTGTTATAAAGATAGGTAGAAATCGGACCATTTCTTCTGGTACCTCCCCCACAACAGGTCGAAATTTTGAATAATTATATCTCTCTAAAATGTGAAATAAACATCCGGCTCTCTTAAAATCTCACACATACCATTATTTCTATTAACACAAGATCTGGTGTGAAGATGATATATACCGATCTACTTCTTCTGGAGTAGATCCCCCATAGAGGGATCAAATTTTTAATAACAAAACGCCCTAAAAATGCGACATAAGCGCCCAATTCATTTCAAACTTCACACATCTCAATATTTCTACTAACACATGATATGGCGTGAAGATGATAGATATCGGCCTACCCCTTGTGGTACCTCCGCCTCGAACGATCACCATTTAAATATTTAAGAGATCTGATGTGAATGAATTTTTCTGTCCACTCCCTCTGATTTCTGATTGAAAATCAATGTTCCACTTTCTTTACATTCAACAGGTTCCAATATTTTTATTGGTATAAGATAAAGTGGAATACTTCGATCCACTATATGTGGCACCTCGCGCACCTTACAAAGTGATATAGTCTAAATATGGCACGTTGTAATATTTATATCAGACATAGTATAATAGAGAGGAGTTGGACAATATTAAGGCTCAACATGATGAATAATAAAAACATAAAAACGGACTATTGCTTGCGGTATACATCCGTCGGCAAAAACCGACTGATACTTTTTATACCCTCCACCATACTATGGAGGGTATATTAATTTTGTCATTCCGTTTGTAACTCCTCGAAATACTCATGTCAGACCCAACAAAGTATATATATTCTTGATCAGCGTAAGATTCTAGGACGATTTAGCCATGTCCGTCTGTCTGTCTGTTGTAATCACTCTATCTTTCGAACAAATTGAGATAGAAGGCTAAAATTTTGCACACATGTATATTTTGCCAGTAGGTAAGTTCGTAAATGGACTATGTAGGCCCAAGTTATCATATAGCTTCCATATAACGGTACCTCCAGATATTCGGTAGTTTGATGATTTTAGCGACATTATTCACCGGAATTGTTTCCAATTTGGCATTTGAAGTTCGTAATGGATACTACAATCTAAGACAGAAAATTATCTGTACAGGTCCACGTCTTCGTATAGCCCCCATATAACGGTCATATAGTCATGTAGGTCCACGTCTTCATATAGCCCCGATATAATGGTACCCCCCGATATTCGGTATTTTGATGATTTTAACGACACTATTTACCGGAATCGTTTCAAATTTGGTATTTGAAGTTCGTAATGGATACTACATCCTAAGTCAAAAAATTGGCCATGTAGGTCCACGTCTTCATATAGCCCCATATAACGGTACCCCCCGATATTCGGTATTTTGATGATTTTAGCGACATTAGTTAACGGGATTGTTTCAAATTTCGCATGTGAAGTTCGTAATGGATACTTCAGCCCATGCCAGAAAATTGTTTGTGCAGGTCCACGCCTTCGTATGGCCCCCATATAACGGTACCCCCTATATTCGGTATTATGATGATTTTAGCTACATTATAAACAGATTTTTCTTCAAGTATCGCATTTAAATATTGCAATAACTTATGACAAAAGTTGCCTATGCAGGTCTACGTCGTCGTATCGGCATTCTTAAGATTTTAACAGAATTTTAAACGGATTTTATTTTTTTGGAAATTGCCAAATTTGTACCAAATGGTGGAGGGTATTAAAAGTTCGGCCCGGCCGAACTTGCAGCTTTTTTACTTGCTTACTTGTTATATCGATGTTTCCCAAATCCACTTACCCGCCCCTACGTACTCCCCTTCCGTGTGTACATCCCATTATCCGGATAATGGGGGGTTAATAATGTTGAGGAACTCCGGCTACCGTAAATACATCAGCCGGTTATAAAATTTAAAATTTAGTTAAAAACAATAAAAACAAGTAAGCAAAGGCTATAGGCGTGAGGGACCAACCATGTGATACCCTACAACACTACAATATGTTAGAAGTCCCCTTATGTCCAAATCCATTTTGGAAGATTTCGTTTTTGAAATTATATCACGGAGCACTGCCCAGATAATACCCTTAGCATTTTGACCAGGGACGTTTGCCCAATATTTACGCACTCCGTCGTGCTCCATTTTACAGCTAAATATAATCCAATGCTCATCCAATATGCTAGAATTCTTCCCTGTCCTTAACTCTCTTCTCAGGCGTGTCGATTGGCTTCCATTGTATGATCAGGAAACTTTTTGTGTTTTTGGTTCATTTGAACCCCTAAATATTTTGCGAACATCTCCAAAAGCAAAAGCATCTCCTCTGTATCTCCAAATTTAGACTCATCTATATGATTTGCTTCTCTACGATATTTGTCAATTTTCGTAAACCAAATCAGCATAAAAAAGCCAAAAGTTCGCCTTTTGTGTATTTCGGATATTGCCTGTAAAAAATGTTGGTATTTTTCATACAAAAGTAGTGGTCCATTCTACTCGCTGTCCTAAGCTCTAATTTCATGTAAGATTTCGTGTCCTTTGGTTTCTATTTGTGACCCTTATAACGGCTGCAAAATCAGGAACATTTTCAGTTGTTGGTGCATTTCAACCCCAAAATATAATGCGGACATCTTTGAAAACAATAGGCCTAGCCCTTCTGAGCCTAACCCTACCCTTGGGGAAAATTTTCCTGAAGATCGGACGATAATTCCAATCTGTATATAATAACCCCAACCTGTGTTGTAAGATGAAAAAATGCACTTCAATATTAAAAGTCAAATTGAAAAAATCGCATGCGACAAAACTGTGAAAGTATAAAAAATATCACAAAATACTACAAAAGCTATATTAACATCATTATTGGCATCTTTTCTATCTTTGTAGCTTTTATTCTTTGATGCAAAGAGGGAATTCTGAATTGACAAAAATTGTAAAAATCGGTCCAGCCATTCTTGAGATATAAGCATTCTATGTAACATCCCCTTCCTTTGTATATATACATGGTATATATTTCGTTATATATATCCGATATATTTACTATCGGCATCGACGTAATGGTCTGAATAAAAATATAATGGTCTGAATATAAAAATATTCGCGGTTTAATGGAAAATTTGACTTTAATTTAACACAAATGTCATGGCCTATTTCACCCACTAAATATTACCCGATGACCATCCAAATTGGAAGGCTTCTATCCAGCCCTAAGCTCTAGCCCCATGCTAACTTCCGATTGGTCTATAATTGCGATTTGTAGAGCAACTGCAAAATGTGGAAATTTTTTAGTTTTTGGTCCGTTTAAACCCCTAAATATTATGCGATCATCTCCAAATAGGCTTCTATTCTCATAGGCATCTATTCTGGCTCTAGACCCACCTCTTTCTAAATTTCGTGAAGATCGGGCCCTAATTGCGACCTGTAGAGTGGATTCCGGCAGGATTCCAGTACATCTCTGACTTCCCTTTATGACATATCACTAAATATGCTATATTATGATGGCAAGCGTCTTAAGTATTATCACCTTAAGGCATTTTATATTGAGAATGGCATATGCCTCCATAGAGAGATATGCAGATCATTATTATAGAATTATACATTCACTTTGCATTTTTAAACTCACAACGTCTGCGTTAACGTATTTATTTCTATAAAACTAAATGGCTCCGCCCCTTTTCACTTCACTATCTGACATTTTAGAGTTATTTACTTTTGACACATTGAAATAGATTTATCAAGCCCCAAGGAATTTTCACATCACTCTAGAATTAAAAATTGGAAATTACAATTTCTCCCGCCATTTAGCAAATGATAGGAAGAATTTGTTATTAATCTAAGCGATTTCCGCATATGCTAATCTTCTCAGGCGACTAAAACAATAATAACAACAATAACAAAGTATTAGTGCGGGAAAAATACGCCCACTTTGCAACACTTGTTTGATTGGTGTTTGCCAATCCGATTCCACCGTCAGTCAACTCAATATTGGCAAAACCCCCACAACCAACGGATATTTGAATAAGACAAGACATTTGAATAAAGACAGCAGGGACGACACCGCAACAAGGCGAATAAATCTAATTGAAATGTGATTTATTTGTTGTTGCTGTCATGTGGCACTTTATAATTGTAAAAATAAACAACAACAGCAATAATAAATAAAAGCTTAATTAGTCAATTTTGTAACGCCTCAATGGATAGAGTTGCCATGTGGAGTGAATTTATTCTTAATATTGCATGAATTTTATTTAACACGAGTATATCATTAATTTTCTATTATTTCTTTACAGCTGTGGCCCGTGGTTCTCAGTGGTCGGGACGCCGATGCTGTGCCTTGGGAGTTTCGCCACGTTGCAGTAATGCCTGCGCCACCATGTCGTCAACTGGCGAGCTAATAAATGCCTGCCGCCAAAGCGATGAACAACATATGTTTGCCTGTTTCGAACGTCAGGAGGCCGGTGATCGATGTTGTGGAAATGCAAAAACCTCCGAATGTTTGCAGGTGAGAAGAAAGAACAAAATAAATTAGAATCACTCAATCTTTTCTTGTCAAAAGACGAAGTAGTAGTTGTGAGGTCTTTTACAGATATAAAAAATAAAGTTTTATGCGTGGAATGGGTCTTCTATCGATATAGTTATGGAAATAGGACAGGATTAACATAGATGAGAATCAGTAGGGAGCAAATGTAACAAAAAAATATATATATTGGGAATTATACCGTGGCTTTATAGAAGTCACAATTTGGCAACTATATCCAACTCTAAATCGATTTTCAACAAATTTGACAAATTTGCTGTATAGGCATGACATATCTTCGATAAGAATTATACTTATTAAATAATTTATATTGGAGCAATAGTTATACCGTACCGAGTTTCACCAAATGGAAGAATTCGGTTGATTATAAAAAAAATCTATGTGTATCTAAGGTATATAAAAATCTGAACCGATCTCGATAAAATTTGGCAGTGGTATTTTCGAGCTGTATCTGATGTCCGATATCAAATATCACTTTTGTGGGGTGCTTATTACGCCTGTGATGGATTTAAACACCAAATCGGATTGAACATATACAGGATGAGACTAATTTCTCACTGCTGTCATGTCTAAGCCACTCGTCCAACAGATGTTAAAATTATTCCAGTGACAGCTCATTATATTGTTGACAAGCATACAAAAGCATTTTGTTGATAATTTTCCAGAAAAAAATTTATTCGTGATGGAATTCTAGCGTGATAGTGTGATTTCTTTATATTTGACTGGAAACCCACAAGTGGCTATCGTTAGAGCACTCCAGCATTTAAATGTGAATAAATTTTTTGTGTCTCGTACCATCGCTTGTTACCGTGATACTGGTAGCGTCGCCCGACGTCAAGGAAGTGGAGGAAGAAAACAGCAACAATGGTTCGAAAAGTAAAGAAGGGACTTGATCGAAACTTGCGTCGCAGTGGCTCGTGAGCTGAATATATCACAATATTCTACTCGGCAAATAGTGAAAAAAGAGCTCGGAGTAAAGCCATTGAAATTCCAAAAAGTGCAAGAACTTACATCGCAACAGAAAGAAAATAGACTTATAAGAGCTAAAGAGTTGTTTCGATAGTGATGAACGGCCGAATTTGGTTTTCTCCGATGAGAAAACATTCGTTGTCCAGCAGTTTGTAAAAATGAAACCTTCGGTTTGTCACCAGAACTCAAGCGTCGGCCACGGTGAAAATATTCTGGAGGGTTTATTAAAGCCTTCGGTACGCAAACATTTTGGCCGCAGACCTTGGACATTCCAACAGGACACAGCACCATCGCACTCAGCACGCGCCGCCCAAAAATGGTTACAAAATGAGGTTCCTCGCTTCATTTCCAGCGCACAATGGCCATCAAAATCTCCGGATACCAATCCGTTGGACTATTGTGTCTGGAGTATTTTGGAAAGCAAGGTTGGCACTAAAAAATACCAAAGTGTCGATCACCTCAAGCAAGCGCTTCGCCGGGAATGGTCTAAAATACCGCAGGGCAACATTCGACAGCATGTGACGGTTTCATTGGCTGTTTGAAGGCCATAATTCGTGCCAAATGTGGCCAATTCGTACAAATCTAAAATTTGATGCTATTTCCGTCATTTTTTGCTTCCATCAATAAAATGTAAAAAAATGTAAAAATTTAACGTTATTGCGTTTGACTTTGTTGCAGTTTTTTTATATCACCCTGTATAGGGAAGTTACAGCTATATTTGAACCGATTTTCACCAAATTTGATGTACTTGCTTGTAGACTAAATTTCATGGGAAGACATATATGGAAGCTATATTTAAATTCGAACCGACTCTCACCAATTTCAATAGGGTTCGTCCTTGGGCCAAACAAATATTGTTTGGAAAATTCCATCTCAAGCGGATAATAAATGCGACCTGCATTTTCGATTCAGAAAGTGATTCTATGAAGATCCTCAAAAGTAACTATGGGTTGATCTCGCTTCCTTCTTAATGTTACAAAAAATGCACAAAGACCTAATACCCCTAACAAGTAGGTGGTGTAGAGTATAAAAAAGACCTTCTAGACATAGAAGAGGTTGTTATACTCTCAGCCAAATGGCTAGAGAGGATATATCATTTGATACGGTCAAAACGTGCCTAGTCGAAATAACGGTTTTAGGTCTCTTTGTCCGTCCGTCAGTCTGTCTTGCTGGCTGGTGCGCACGATAACTCTCGAAGGGAGATTCCGATTTGGCACAAACTTTGTACATTGTCAAACTTAGATCGAGTTTGGAGATGGGCAATTTCGGTTCACTCCTGCTCCACAAAAGGTCAAAATCTTCTAATTACACACATCACAATATTGACCCACGGTCTGCTGAAATATATCAGTCCACTGAAGATGTACACAATATTCATGAATTTTGAATATTCATGAAGCTCTCAAAACACGAAATACTTCTTTAAAGACAAGATCTGTTATAAAGATGGTAGAGAGCGGACCATTCCGTCTGGTACCTCCACCACATATGGTTCAAGATTTTGAAAAATACAAAACGCTCAAATAAATCGAAATAAGCATCCAACTCTCTTCAAATTTGACATATCCAAATATCTGTTGTGAAAATGATATATATCTACCATGCTTTATCCATGAAAGTGTCTTCTACACGAAAATTCTTCTATCAATGGAAAACCTCTTGAAGTACTTCCCAATAGCATTGCTTTGTTCTCTCCTACTTTTTTATTGATCGAACAAAATATCTCTCTTCTTTCAGGCATGCCGTGAAATATTCGAACCTCATCCGTCGCACAAACGCAACAATCGCAGACATCTCCACGAAATGTGTGGTGAGAAAAATGCCGATGTCATACAGTGTGTGAAAAATGTCACCGATATGTCTCCGGTAACAAATTCTCACAAATGTAAGTCCAAATTCTTCAAGGATCCATTCTGTTCAATTCATTACAGATTTACCAACTTTTTACAGATTTACCCTGCTGCGATTTTTCGGATAATGAAAATTGTCGCAATACCTGTCGAACCGTTCTAAATACCACAGAGAGTACGGCCATTATCATAGGCGAACTTGAGGCAGGTGGATGTGGTACCGTCTTGCCCCACCTACCGCTGTGGCAATGTTTTTTCACAGCCGAGAGGAAAATGTTTGTACCCGCTGTCAGTGTGAACAATCATGAAAGTGAAGTCTCACAAATAAATCGTTTGGGTATAGATGGCGCTAAATTGCACTGCTGCGAAAAGGCCTTATCGGCCAAATGCCGACGCCTGTGTTTGCAAACTTTTACCACAGACTGGACAAACACCATGAATAATTTCGAGGAGGCCTGCCTTATGCAGCCGAATGAATTGGAGCTGCGGCAGTGCATAGATGAGGTCGATGAACCCTGTGAACTGGGCTGTGATGGTCTGAGCTTTTGTACGAATTTCAATAATCGTCCAACGGAATTGTTTCGCAGTTGTACCGTGGAGGCTGATATGGCGGCGAAATCGGATTTATTGATGTGGCAACAGAGGGGTTACGTGAGCTTACCCGGTGTCAATTTACCCATTAAAAACATGACACGTTGTTCGCCGGAAAAGTGGAAAGCCATAGCATGTGTACTGCAAACCAAACCCTGTTCCAGGCAGGGCCATTATAACCACATATGCCGGGAGAATTGTTACGAAATTCTAAGTGAATGCATGGATTGGACTCGAATGAACACGTCACTGAATGCAGATGCCATTTGTGCACGTCTACATCCCGAGGGCGAGGGAGTACCTTGTATTTCGCTAAGACCTTATCTGGAGGAGAGTGATGCCCCCAAAGAAACTGGAGGTCATCATCGAATCACGTCGCCCTGCAAGGGCCATCCATGTAATGCCAGCGAAGTGTGTTTGGCGGCACGCAATGGTTCATCAATGTACGAATGTATACCTGCATGTGCTCTGGGAGAGACCTCCAATTATTTGGTACCATTTGGAGCCTATGTTCGCATACCAGTACAGTTGACTGCCAATCGGGGAGGTTTTAAGGTTTGTCGCTGCGGTCTACAGGGTCGCATTGAACATTGCCAACCACTGCCGAGTGTATCCTTTGAAAGTTGTGTGCTGCCGGGCGGTAGAAAAATAAAACATGGAACCTCCTTCTACTTGGAATGTAATCTGTGCACTTGTTATGCCGAGGAGATAACCTGCACGAAAAAACAATGTAAAATGCCGGGTGAGTTATTTGATATTAACAAGTTAGAAAGTATAATACATAATAATTTATGTGGCTATGTTCGATCGTCTCAATTTCTTCCTCATCTTGACTGATTCTGCAGTAATCAATACCATCGCTGTTCCATTTCAAAGTCATTGCCCTCACATGTTTTAAATCAGGTTTCGACAAGGACAATAGCGATATTGTTCTCTTCTCAAAGAGTATGGGCCAGATTATCTTGGAGATATTATATCCCTTTAATCTATTGATTTTTGTTGTATTCTCTCAGAGTAGTGTCTATGAATTTCCTGGAAGAAGTGGCACAGGGGTGGTTTGACCGACTTCTCAACTTCAATGATATTTGCCTATCCAATTCGTCTGCAGTCTGAAGGACATTTACGTTTTCTCATAAAGAGGACAACCTCTCTCCTTGTTGGGTTTACTCCTAGTCCATTGCGACGTGCCCACCTTGATAAGGTAACTAGAGCTCCTTGCATCAGATCTGAAAATGTTTCCAGGGATTACCCCGCAATTGATAGGACAACATCATCAGCGTAAGCGAATACCTTTGTCTGATTTTGCTCCAGATCTATGAGTATGTTGTTGATAACCAATAGCCAGAGTAATGGTGATAGGCAGATTTTCTGTCGGATTTTTCCCCAATGCTTGAATTGATAATTCTGTTACTAAGCATGGTATCAATCCAATTGATGAGGAGTTGGGGTACCTTAAGGCTTAAAAGAGATCTGTGAATGGACTCGAGTGCTACATTTGTTGAAGGATTCCTTAATATTAAGAGAAGCTGCCAAGGTGAATTCATGTTTTTCTCAATGTATCCTACGATGTCGTGCTGCGCTGTTTCAATGGATTTACCTTTCATATAGACATGTTGAGCAGTGCTGATGGCAGTCGGGGTAGTAGAGATCTGGTGTCGTAAGTCTTAAAAGAGAACTATGAATGGACTCGAGTGTTGCATTGTTGAAGGCTCCCTTAGTATCGAGAAAAGCTGCCAAGTTGAACAGGGAACCATTCATGTTTTTCTCAATGTATCCTACGACGTCGTGCTGCGCTGTTTCAACGGATTTATCTTTCATATACTCATGTTGAGCAGTGCTGATGGCACTCGGGGGTAGTAGAGATCTGATTTCTATGTCGATCAGAATTTCTGGAATTTTCGATAGAAAGGATGACAGACTAATTGGTCCGTAGTCCTTAGGAACCGAGTGACTTGGTTTTCCTGCTTTTGGGAGATAAGTAACGGCGACTTCCCTCCACAAAACCGGGATGTGAGATAGGCACAGACAAGCTTTGAAAATATCCCCCAAAATTGGAGACATTGACGCCGAAACATACTATAACATGGCGGGAATGATGACACCTGAACATAAAGCTTTGTCTCAACCCTTCAGAGGACCTCACTGCATTTTCATGCACTCTCGGGATCACTAAGGAGCAACTCCATTACGTATAAGTATAACGGCTTCAAGCCAATAACAAAAATGATTACAACAGAAACCCCAAAACCCACCGAAGAAAAAGCAAGTGGCTTACGAGTCGGACCCCAGTGAATTCACCGATAGTAGCTGTAGATGCTGAAGAAACCACGGCTTGCCGTCTATTAGACGGCAAAACTCCACAGGCCATAGTAACAGCAGAACCACATATAGCTCCGACTCTTCACTCTCTCAAAAAAGTGTACATACTGTAAATGAATGCATCAGAAGAGGGAGCCTTAGCGTCAAGGTGCTCCAGAAAATATGAGAACCAATCAATAAACAACCGAACAATAGTAGAGACGTGCAAACTGGAGTCTCTGAAATAGACGAGTTACTCGAGGGTCATTGCTCGGTTGTTAGGATGTACCGTTATATTTTTACTATTTACTAAATACCTTCTAGGAAAGCTTTTCTACCATCGAAAAAAAATCTTAATCTAAATTTATTGGCAAAGTCGATTATAAGTCGATTAGATTATAAAGTAAAGACCCTCGAAATAAATTAGATCTGTATCATCCTTTATATGGGCGTTGCTGCGTTACATTGCCAAACGTGTTCTAAGGCCCTCTTCTATTAAAAGCCAAATCGGTTGCAAAAATAATGCAAGCCTCTTCGATATGTCCCCATATAAACGGACACCCCAACACCCTCTCAATAAATAATATGGGGGAGGTGGTATCTTTACAAAAAGCCACCACCAAAAAGTGAACCTGCATTAAACAATTTTCATACCCTCCACCATAGTATGGAGGGTATATAAAGTTTGCTATTCCGTTTGTAACACCTCGAAATATACATTTTAGACCCCACAAAGTATATGTATTCTTGATCAGCATAAAATTCTATGTCGATTTAGCGATGTCCTTCCGTCTGTCCGTCTGTGGAAATCACTCTAGCTTCCGAACGAATTGAAGTAGGTTGATAAAATTTTACTCAAATGTATATTATGTCTGCAGGACTTTTGGTATTGAAAATGGGCCATGTAGGTCCACGTTTTGGTATAGCCCCATATAATTGTACCTCCCTGTTTTCGGTGTTTTGGTGATTTAAGCGACAATATTCATCGGAATTGTTTCAAATTTAGTATTTGATGTTCGTAATGGATGCTGCAGCCCATGGCAGGAGATTGTCTGTGCAGATCCACGTCTTCGTATAGCCCCCATATAACGGCACCTCCCGATATTCGGTATTTTGATGATTTTTGCGAGATTATTCACCGAAATTGTCTGTGCAGGTTCACGTCTTCGTATAGCCCCCATATAACGGTACCTCCCGATATTTTGATGATTTTAGCGACATCATTCACCAGAATTGTTTCAAATTTGGTATTTAAAGTTTGTAATGGATACTACAGCCTAAGACCGAAAATTGTCTGTGCAGGTCCACGTCTTCGTATAGCCCCCATATAACGGTACTTCACGATATTCAATATTTTGATGATTTTAGCTATATTATTCACCGATTTTTTTTAAGTTTCTCATTTGAGTATTGTAATGGCTTTTGACAAAAGTTGCCTATGCAGTTCTGTTCCATTCAGTATTTTTAAGATTTTAACAGCATTTTTAACGGTTTTTGAGAATTGCCAAATTCGTTCCAATTGGTGGAGGGTATTCAAAGTTCGGCCCGGCCGAACTTACAACTTTTTTACTTGTTTCTAGTAAAGTTTCTATCCACATTTATACTTCGTATTATTCTTCAGAAATATTTTTTGAAAGAGCCATGCAGGGCAGACAGACCTTTACAAAAATATTCCTTTTTTAAGTCCATGATAAAAGTTTCTGTAATTCGTGAAATACATATGCCATAACTATATATTTACTTATACCTGATTTATAATTTTATAATTCTATACTATATTTTTACTTATCCTTGAATGATAATCTTATAAAAATCCTCGAAAATTATTCTACAAATAATTCATGATTAAGGCAGTGTAAACCCCTGAAAATGAATTCTAAATACACTTCAAGATTACAAAAAAATGTTCTTTAAAACCCCACTACACACTTAAAAGTAAGTCGTAATATTATTGTTTTTGTTATTGTTTTAGGTTACACTGATGTCTCCTATACGAGTTTACCTTGCAACTGCCCCACCCACTATGTTCCGGTGTGCGGCATCAATGGTCGCACCTATCCCTCTCTTTGTATTGCACGGTGTTTGGGTCTTCAAGATACCGATGTGGAATTCGGCGCCTGTTCAGTGTGGAATCCTTGTGCTCCCGGAGCCTATCATTGTCCAGCCGGAATGCAATGTTTGGAACACAGGCAAATTTGTTTGTCCTCCATGCACAGACCCTGTTTGCAGTACAAATGTGGTGAGTATTGACAATTCATTGGTACCGACTTGAATATTAATAGCATTTTGTTCTTTCCCTCTCTCTTATTTTTTAGTTAATCAAACTCTGCCATGTGAAAACTCCGATCAACCCGTTTGCGATACCAAAGGGATTACATACAAATCAGCCTGTGATCTTTTAAATGCCAAATCGAATTTTGCCCATTGGGGTCCATGTAATCGTGGTTGTTCTTGGAAGGGTCCAGTGTGTGGCATCAACGGCGTCAATTATCCCAGTGAATGTGCCGCCTGGTCGGATTATATTTTGGTCGACTATAAGGGTCGTTGCCGTGAGGTGGGTCTGCTAAGTCATGATTTGGACAGGAAACGTTGTCGTTTGGTTAAATGCCCAGATTTACCCTCTCCGTATTGTCAAGCCATAACACCACCTGGAGCCTGTTGTCCCCTGTGTGCCTCAGCATTTCGTATAATCTATTCGAGAAAACAAATCGATCGGGCCCTCTATGCCCTTAGGGGACAACATAAAGATTTACTCACTTTACGTAGTGTGTTGCATGAGATTGATAGTCTTGTACAAGTCACCGAATGCCAGTTGACCGGATTCCTTACCATGGAGGTGGGCATATTTGTGGCCATTGTACCAAGAGCTTCGACACCAAACCGAATGCAAATCGAAGCCTGTATACGCGAAGCGGAAAAGCTGTCATCGCTAATAACAGCCCAGTCGCATAAAATCACCACAAATTTAATTCTATCCGGACTGACAATGTCAAATATGTTAGATCCCAGTATTGAAAATGCCTCAATACCTTGCTGGAATGATTTAAGTTTATATTTGTTATTGGTTATGGCATCCGGTTCGGTGCTGATGGGTTTGTGGAGAACCAAATATGTATCGTAGTCTTAAAACAAAACAAGTGCCAGTGAAAATGTGCAAAGCTCAAATGGTTTCGAATCTTGTATTTTTTTTTTTTTTTTCAATTTATTTATTTTGAAATGTTGTAGAGATTTTGTATTTATTAAGTTTAAAATTAATCTCATTAATTTCGAAGAAGAAATGTGACAACCCTATAGTCTTTTATTTTTTATACCCTCAGCCATATGGCTACAGAGGGTATATATCATTTGATACGGTCAAAACGTGCCTAGTCCAAATAATGGTTTTAGACCCTAGGTCTCTTTGGACCAAATCCGTTTCAGAACATTTGGAGTCGATCTAGCGATGTCCGTCCGTCTGTCTGTCTGTCTGGCTGGCTGGTGCGCACGATAATTCTCGAAGGGAGTATCCGATTTGATCCAAACTTGGTACATCGTAATATTTTTGTCAAACTTAGATCGAGTTCGGAGATGGGCAATATCGGTCCACTCCTTCTGGTACCTCCCACATAAAATGTCAAAATTTGCAAAGAAAATAATTTATTGCACAGAAAGAGAAAGGATAATCCGATTTTGCTCGAACTTTGCAAATCCTAATATTTTCATCAGTGCCAGGTCAGTTGCGAAAATGGACAATATCGGTCCACTCCATCAAGTACGTGCCCCACAAAGAGTCAAAATTTTGAATAATTACAACTCCTATAAAAATGTGATGTAAGAGTCCGATTGTCTTCAAATTTCACATATCCCAATATTTTTATTAACCCAAGGTCTGGTGTTAAGAGGGAATACATCGGTCCACTCCTTTTGGTACCTCCCCCACAAAAGGTCGAAATTTTCAAAAAATATATATAAAATATATTTTTTGCACAGAAAGAGAAACGGTTATCCGATTTTGCTCTAACTTTGCAAATCCTAATATTTGCGTCAGTGCTAGGTCAGGTGCTAAAATGGACAGTACCGGTCAACTCCATCAAGTACCTCCCCCACAAAGGGTCATAATTATAACTCTTATAAAATGTGATGTAAGGATCCGAACGTCTTCAAATTTCACACATTCCAATATTTTTATAAACCCAGGATCTGCTGTTAACATGGAATGTATCGGTCCACTCCTTCTGCTACCTCCCCCACAAAGTGTCGAAATTTTGAATACCCATGAAGCTCATAAAACGCCACATTAAGATCTGATTCCATTTAACTTGGCACATCTCAATATTTCTATCAACACAAGATCTGTTATAAAGGTGGTATAGATCGAACCATTTCTTCTGGTACCTCCCCCATACTTAGGGTTCAAGATTTTGAGAAACAAAACGCTCAAATAAAGCGAAATAAGCATCCAAATCTCTTCAAATTCCACACATAAATTTTTTTTTGCTTACACAAGATCTGTTATGAAGTTGATATATATCTGCGAACCCCTTCTGGTACCTCACCCACAAAGTGTCACAATTTTCAATAATTATATCTGTCATAACTTTCGAAACAATTTAGCAATTCTTTACTACTTGTTATGCTCAAATATTTCTCTCAATAAGAAGCCTGATATGAATATGACATTTATCGGAATTTATGATTTCGCATAAAATTGGACATAAATATCCTTTCTTGTAATTTAGCCCAATATTTCGCTCAATATTTTTTATTTGTATCAGATGAAGTATAAAAATGGAATATTTCGGTAGACTCTATATGGTACACCACGCACATTTTAACATTTTCTAAAAATTATTACATATCTCATAAAAAGTGAAGGAGTGAGTCAATATAATCCATATCAGGAATATTTATATCATATTTTTGGGTCTGATACAAAATGGACAATATTGGCCCATTCCTTCGGAAACGGATCCATAGAGGGTCAAACGTTTGATTATTTAATCGAACATAGGCTGAGGGTATATATCTGTCGGCAATACCGACTGATACTGTTTAACTTGTTTTTAAATGTAATTAATTATTTAAAATGTAATCAATTCCATTTAGACCAACAATTCCGCGGGGTTCGATGAAATGTCACTCTGCTTCCTTTAAGCTATCGGTTCAAACATAGCTATAGCTTCCATATATATCTGTCATCCGATTTGGTGTTGAAGTCCCTCAAATTCGTAATATGCATTCGACATCAATGATATTTGGTACAAGAAATCTTATAAAGCTCAGAAACACTAAGATTTGGATATAGCTCCCATATATATCCTTAATCCGATTTCGGGTTTATTCTGCAAATAATGGCTAATATCAGCCCAAATGGAGTGAATTTCGGGACATAGGTTTCCATTTTGTGCAACTCGGCTCCGATGTATATTTTTTAATATAATCCTTCTCCAAGTGATATCATGCACTCTTTAGCAAACTATAACTGCTCTAAAGCCAAATGTTGATAGGTGGTATTATCTACTTGAAAAAAAATATTTTGTTATGGGAGCTCTAGTGATGTGGGGTATCATATAGTCGGTCCCGCCCGACTTTTGATTTTTCCTTACTGGTTCAACCTATCTTACTTTACTTTATTTCCATCATATTTCAAATTGAATTGGACTCAAGAAGTTGAAGATTGGAGTTTTACATAAATTAACAAAATTTAGCACTGATATCTGGTGACCTCTTTTCAAATAATTGTCTATGTAGTTATTCTTATTTTTGAGTAGTTGGGAGTCAAATTTCAATCGATGACTTAAAATCTTGAAAACTCTTTGAGTTAATGCGAGATATATTGGAATTTAAAGACATGTGTTCAAATCGCTGAACAGCCGCTCTTTGATCCCTCCTAGAATAAGTTTCACTAATTACTTCAGCTTTTGCAACGCCGTATTCAGTGTTTTCGTGATCGATTGGCAGATAATTTCAACCACTTGCAAACCCAAAAACCTTACCAAATCGCCAGAATGCAGCCAAACAAGGCAGACATAAAGGCCCAGTTAATCTTTCATAAAGCGATAGTTGTAAATTTTAGCTAGTATCAGTCTGATACATGACAGTCTTCCAATCTCAGGGAGGATTTACATAGTTTAAAGTTTATCAGCCAAATACAGTGTACCGCCTTTGAATACCGCTATCCCCAAGCATTGCAGCAAAAAAAAAAAAACATTCTCTCTTTGGTTCAATTACTAGTTCTTTTCAATCTAGAATTTCTAAAAAAACAACTTAATGGATTAAGTATCCCGGGTTGTTACTTACATTTCTTAGCAAATGGTCTGTCTGTTCACATTTCTTCTTCAAATACCCACATATGTTTTAATTATTTCTCATTTTCTTTATTATTAGTAAAAATGTAAATTTTATTCTTGATCAAGTGTGTGAATTCTTGGTGCCAATATAGTTTTAAAAAATATATAAATTAAAATTAATTTTTTTTCAATAAATATAAATGAGACAGCAATTTAAAAATTAATAAGACAAATTAATTTTCAACTTGTTTTTAAATAATTCTTTTTTGCGTAAATTAAAAATTAAACAAAGTGCCTTTCTTCGTTTGAATTCATTGTAATTTTCTTTAAATTAAATTTAAGTTAAAATAAACATTTTTTTTTCAAAAATCTGAACTACACAAATTACATTTAAGTTTTGTTTGTTTTGTCCATTATTATCATAATTATTTAAGTTTAATTGATCTCCTTGTGATATTAGATATTAAAACAACAGCAACAACAACAACAAAAGAACAACTTTATTAATAAATTAGGCCATATTTATAATGATAATTGTCATGACAAATACAAAAACACAAATGGTTATTTAAAACATAAATACATACAGACATATTAATAAATGAAATCAAACTAAAACATATCTGCATAGTTATACAATAAAGATTATTATATGATTATAATTATTCTAATTACTATACACCTACTTATAAGTAGAATAGATCTTTTTTTAATTAATAGACTATTTTGTAAATAGTGTGGTATTCAATGCAAACATTTTATAATCGCATGCCCACATACATACAAACAGAAATACAACAAAACAAACGCCTTCTTTGTTCATACATTTCTTTCTTTTTTTAATAACATAAATTACCAAAGTTGTTTAATATTTATCCCTGAATTGATCCCAAAAATATTGATTAAAAAACAATACTCAAATAGTCATTAAGAAGTACCTTTTTGTATAAAAATATATATATATTAAAAACAAGAATTATTAAAGAAAATGTTTAATAAATTATATTATGATTTCATTAAAATATTTGATATTTTATTACTTTAAATGAAAAAGGGATTCGATCTTTTCTTTGTTGAAGGACTATAATATTAGATCCATCTTAAAGCCCATGCCTTGATCATTTTCCATGGCTGACGAGGAAGGAATTACCTTAACGTATACAGGATGAGATAAAAAAACGGAAACAAAGTAAAACGCCATAATGTCGGAAATAGCATCAAATTTTAGAATATGTTTAGATTTGTTCCAATTGGTCACCTTTGGCACGAATTATGGCCTTCAAACAGTCAATGAAATCGTCACACGCTGGCCGAATGTTGCTCTGCGGTATTTTGGCCCATTCCCGGCGAAGCGCTTGCTTGAGGTGATCGACACTTTGGTATTTTTTAGTGCAAACCTTGCTTTCCAAAATACTCCAGACACAATAGTCCAACGGACTGGTATCCGGAGATTTTGGTGGCCATTGTGCGCTGGAAATGAAGCGAGGAACCTCATTTTGTAACCATTCTTGGGTGACACGTGCTGAGTGCGATGGTGCTGAGTCCTGTTGGAATGTCCAAGGTCTGCGGCCAAAATGTTTTCATGTCCTAGGCTTTAATACACCCTCCAGAATATTTTCGCAATAATATTCGGGATTTATTCTGATGCCACGGTCGATTAATACGAGCGGAGAGCGACCATCGGCTGTTATGGTGGCCCACACCATCACCATGGCGGATGCTTAAGTTCTCATGGCCAACCGAAGGTGCACATTTTCAGCTGACCTCTTTGGAAAGTAAACACTATCATTTTGTTTGTTTACAAACTACTGGACAACAAATGTTTTCTCATTGGAGAAAACCAAATTCGGCAGTTCACCACTTTCGGCCAGGCGAAACAACTCTTTAGCTCTTTTGAGTCTATTTACTTTCTTTTTGGAATTTCAATTCCCGAGCTCATTTTTCAAAATTTGCCGAATGGAACATTGCGATATGATATAGCTCAGCTCTTTACTTTTCGAACCATTTCTGCTGATGTTGCTGTTTCCTTCCGTTCACTTCCTTGACGAGACACAAAAGATTTATTCACATTTAAATGCTTGAGTGCTCTGGAAAATTCTCACCAAAATGCTTTTGTACGCTTGTAAACAATATAATGAGCTGTCACTGGAATAATTTTAACAGCTGTCGGACGAGTGACTTTGAAGTGACAGCAGTCTAAAGTTAGTTGCAGTTTTTTCATCTCACCCTGTACATATTTCATTCGCCTTCGCCCGTTTGCTTCTTTGTTTTCTACCACCTGGGGCTCAATTAATGTTCTATGAGAAATTGAATTGAAAACTTTTACAAAACATTTATAAAGATTCGTCATTTTCTATTTTCATAGAACAGAAATCCGGCCCGGCCGTTGAGGACCCTGATTTGCCTCTTGTATCCTCCTTCTTTAATTTGAACCAAACAAAACTCGGTGGAGAAAACGAGCAAGAAGATTTGGTTTCAATTTTAATGTTCTTGATTGAAAATTAAATGAACAGGCCGAAATATCCTCCATAATGAAGAAAAGAACCCGTTTACAAATAACAAGTAAAAAAACATTAAGTTCGCCCGGGCCGAACTTTTGATTAAGCTTATCAAAAAACCATAAAATGAGTGAGGCCTTTATATGGGGCTATACTAAAGCGGGAACTTCTTTAGACCATTTTATACTTCAAGGATTGTCATCTACATAATCTTCTAAAATACCAAATTTGAAACAATTTCGTGGGTAAATGTGATTAGTATTATCAAAATACCGAATATAGGTGAGTACCGTAATATGTCCGCTATAGGCGAAGATATTCAATGTTCTTCCACCGGAGGTAAAACCAATTGTGACCTACAAATACCAATTTTTAGACAAATCCGTGAAAAAAAAAATGGGCAAAAATCATCGAAATACCGAATATTGGGAGGTACCGTTATATGTGGGCTGTATCAAACTGTGGACCTATACGGGCAATGTTCCTCCACCAGAGTTAGAACCCATTAAGAACTACAAGTACCAATTTTTAGACAAATCCCTGAAAAAATGTGGCAAAAATCATCAAAATACCGAATATCGGGAGGTACCATTATATGGGGACTATACCGAAACCATCGTAGACACAATACAAATTGTTGTGCCAAATTTTGAAGTTGTATGTCAAATAATGTGGGATGTATCGTGATTAGAACAGACAGACAGCCAGTCATAAAATTTATAGCATTTCCTGATAGGAGGATTACTTTTGCACCACATTTTATAAATGTAATGATGTGCTACAAAATGTAGAAGCCGTTACATACTCCAAGTACCGAATTTTAAACAATTGCGTTAGAAAACGTGGCTAGAATCATCAGAATATCGAACATCGGTAGGAACCCCTACATGCGTGCTATGAGAAAGCGTGGACCTATATAGATAAAGAAAAATAAATGGGACTTATGGTAAAACCTTGTCAGATATTAAAAACTTCATGGACACCCGAAATATGTTTCACACTAAACATATCACATCCAAACTTTTACGATAGTTTCGTAAGAGCTCTCGTTAACTTTAAAACAAATTTTTGTAACTAGAAAAATATACATTTTTTAAACTTTATTAGAAAATCATACATTTTCATTGAATAAGTATAAAAGATTAATATTCAATTAACAAAAAATGCCGGCATTTTTGTCGTGCAGTTAAATCTCCACTCACACCTTCTTACATCTCTACATATGTAGGCATGGTCATGACACCGCAATTATTTTTACGTGCTGACATTAGAATGTAACCGTCATTACCCCAATAGGTAGACCACGAGTTCTTAACTAACCAATAATCTTCGCCATTAATTGTGCCATAACCCACAGCCAGCACCGCATGATCTAATTCATCCAGACCATTTTTGCATGAGGCTTCATAATAGACACCATGCGAATAGAAACTAAAGGTTTTTGGGGATGCATCAATGGCCACCGAAAGGGGGCCATGTTTAAGCAGGGCAATTTTAAAGGCTTCTGGATCATTGGAGGTTACATTTACAAATCCTTTAATGGGTGCCACAAGTGAAACATTTTTGGCATGACAATAGCCATCTTGGCCCAAATATGGACCATATTCCTCCTCAGTTGGTACCCCACCCATTTCCATTATCCATTGATAGGCACGGAAATCTTCACCGCCATCACAGCCATTGTTGCCATATTGCCAAGAGCAATCAATTAATGCTTGTTGGGATAAACGAACCAAGTTGCCGCCATTCTTGAGGAAATATGCTCCCTCAATGTGGCCAATGGTGCCGAAAGACCAACAAGAGCCGCAAACCGATTGATCTGAAATCATATGAAAACAGGATTAGAAAAGCATCCATATAAAGTATTAATTGAAATTACCTTTAACAGGTGTCACAGCACCAAATATACGCCAGTCGTATTGTTCAGGAATTTGATCTCTTAGCTTGGCTGTGTTATAGGGGAATGGTTTGCCGGTATTGTATACACCTGTTGACCTAAAACCACGACGGGCCTTTAATTCGTCATCAGTCTTATCAGCCAAGTGATTTACAGCCAAGGTATAACTTAATTTTGCACGATTCTTTGAATTAATAAATCTTAGATTTTGTCTGAAAACATTCTTGCGATATTCATGCTCATGTTCAGTCTGATAATCAATGTTATGCTTGTTTTTGAACTCTTCAAAATGATGATCGACATGATGATCCACTGAGGGATGAACAAATTCCTGCATGGGATTAAATGTGGCATAGTGTCCTTTACCGGGGCCAGGGAAAGCAACGCATTGCATGTCGTCATCCAATTCAAATACCTCATTGGGAATGTCATCATGTTCGTAGCTGTCATAATCCAAATAATAATGATCGTAATGGGAACCCAATAGTGTATTATAACCTCTCATTTCGTAGCGTACAGGAATTGGCATACGAGATGCTGGATAATGCGGAGATTTCTTGTAGCGCACCCACAATGTGTAGACATTTTTCTTCTGTCCGATTGTCTCTTCCAAACGGAATTTATCACATGTAAAACCCAAAAAGCTTTCAGTTCCAATCAAGGAGAAATCTTTTACATATGGTAGAATTGATTGAATTTCCACAGGATTCTCAGCTGTACCATTCAACTGTAAACATGTTACTTTGTTCAGTTCGTCACGAGTAGTAATGGGTGCCAATTTCAAAGATGTTCCATATGGATGTTCATTGCCCAATTGATATGTTTTAACCATACCGCCATAATAATCGATACGTGAACGTTTTGTATTCTTATCATACCAGGCATAGAAAGGTTCTGCAATTTCAGCATATGGTATATACAAAGTGCCCTTGACAATGTAATTTGGATCCCAACGTGGGGGTTTGGTGGCCAGTGCTGAAAAGAAATAAATAATCAAGATGTTATCGAAAATTACGTTAATAAATTATACTTCAAAGACAGAAAAATGTTTTTCTATCTGTAAAAGTATATGCTCTATGCTCTTTATAATCGACTTGAAGAATGACAACATAAAATGAGACTATACGCCAAATTTTTATAGACGACTTACAAGGAGTCTTTTTATACGCCCTGAAAAGAGGAGACCACATGAAACAAACTTTGTGAATAGCCCGAATTTATATAGGATTTTTTGCAATGCCTATCCCGCATTGTAAAATTGATATTTATAGAATATCTGAAAAGAGATCTTATGATTAAACGAAAGAAGTATATTGTTCAGCTGAGAAAATGTTTATAAAAGAATTATCCTTTATAGATGGAATAAGGAATCCTTTACAAGCATATAGTTGGCCCCAAAGAAATTGTTGTACTTATTATCGGCTTAATATTAGCCATTATGGTGGACCATAAAATGCGTTGTGGGTGGCATTTTTTTGGATGACCAGAAAAAAAATATTTAATAAATTAAATTTTAGAATATGAGCAAGCATTAACCAAAAAGCATTAAAACAGCTTTATTGTAGACCACCTTAAGAAAATTTTAAGAGACCTTAAAATAGTTGTACTATACAAACCGAAATGGAAATATGCGTCGACTTTCAAAATCTGTTAAAAATAATCTTTATACCCTCCACCATTCTATAGAGGGTATATTAGCTTTGTCGTTTGTAACTCCTCGAAATATTCATGTTATGATTCATATACTGTCTATATCGATTAAATGTAACCTGGGTTTTTGTAGCCAACGTTTACCTGGTACCCATGGATAAATACTTTTCTGATAGTTCATAAATAGGGCGTTTATGCTACAGGGCGATGTTGGAAAACAATGGTGGTTGTATTGTTGACATGGACCATGGTAGGAGAATAGAAGTAGTTGCATCGTCACAGCTGCTGGACAATGAACTGTCAAACCAATTTTGGAATTGAAATTTTTGAATGAAAAATTGTTCAAATTTGTAAAAATTGTTAAAAAATGCATATCATAACAATCTCTGACTGGCGTCTACTTATTTTTGAAGAAACATTTAACACATTTTGGCATATCAATGTTCCCAAGCGTTGATGCAGCTAACTGTATTCTTCTACCATGATATAGACCAAATTTCATTTTCTGAGTACAAGTCGCTACCTCAATAGTGTACGAAAAGTAATTTGTCCTCCCCCAAATGGGTTAACACTTTGAATGTTTTTTGCATTACGATACCAAGAATATGCAATCAGAAACTCAGCCATTTATAAAAATGAGCGATGAACACTTGTTTGTCACCCTTAAATAACATTAAAATAAAAAAAAATATTAAATTACAATTATCACGAATTATTGTTTTTACCTGTAACAGCACAGCCAATAATAAAAACAAATATCAATGCACAACGCATTTTCCTATGAGATTGCCAAAAAGAAGCACTTTTGTTTAGGCTTTATCACTGTTTTCCTTTGTTTCTTCAATAAATTCACTTTTCAGTTTTACTTTAATTATAAAAATCTCTATTTGAAACACTTTCTTCTATGCCACCAACACGACGCACAGTATGATGAACCTCCAAGCTTGAGGTTAAGTTTGTTAATAATCTATTTTGTTCGGAATTATTTATTTATTTGCAAATTGAAAGTTTCGTTTGGTTTTATGCATATGTATGTGATGTCTGTGATTGTGTTGTGTTCTTTGTTTTGTACAGTTAAGAGCGCTAGAGATTGAGAACGTACAGTGTTGAGAAACTTGAGGAACTTTTGAAATGTCATTGTAATGGGTTAAACGCATTGTTAAAAAAATTAACAACAATAAAGCAAATCCAAAGCAAATGATTAACAAAGTTTAATCTCTGAGTTAAATTGTTCAAGGAATATAAAAATTGTCGATTAATTTCGTTGTGTTTTACTGTGACCTCTAACGAAATTAACTTTCATTTTATTACAAATTTTCTTGCCAGCACTGATGAGTTTCAGTGGAGACACGCATACTTTCACATTTGCAATAAAAACGAAGAAGCCGGCGATTCTTTTTTTATTTTGCAATTACATTTTGTATTATTTATTCTGTTCACCGTATTTATTTTCCCCCCCATTTGTCAGCTTTTATCTTTACTTGACAATCAGAGAATTGCAGAGCTTGCAAAACCTTTTAAAATAAAAATTGACTACAACTAAATTTCTCGCAAAAGGTCATATTTGCTCAGCTGAGGCCATTTTGTAGACATTTTTAAGAAATGGGTACAGTATTGGTAAAAATTATTCAAATACATATTTAAGGTGAGAATATATAGAACAATGGAGCGCAGCATATCTGCATACGCAAAATCTGACGTAAAGATGGAATGCAGCTCCGTTTGGAAAATTTTACGATACATGTCCCTAAAATCATGAGAGTCACATGCTTGGGACTATCATTTACGGTCTTCTTTGGATTTGGGAACATAAAAAAGTATCCATTGTGGCCAAAAATAGTTTTTTTTTTTTTGCAAAGAAAATATGTTCTCATATTTTTAAATTCAAAATAAAAACGTATATGTTTAAAGAGCAAAGGTGTTTTAGGTTGTGTTAGTTCAATATTGGCCCATAATCTACACTTGTTTACTTCACCTTTAACGAAGAAGCCAGCCGGTGACTTAAACCAGTAAAAAGGCGTTTTAAGGTAACAATACATAAAACGCTTTTTTAACTGGCTGGCTTTTTCGGAAAAGAACAGAGGGGCGTAGGGCCAAAATCGAACTAAATTAACCTAAAACTCCTTTCCTCCAGCTGATGACTTAAGCCAGACGTACTCTACGTCAAATTGTTTGCAAAAGTAATATTCTTGACCAACCTTACTTGTTTTACCATTAAAAAGTATAGGAACACAACAAGAATATATCAAAACAATCATTATCACACATTCAACGCAATCTAACAATGGTCAGTCTTATGGAAGAGTTTAAAATGTCAATGATCTCTATTGGTATTAGCTTGTCCATGCTTCAAAGCTGCAAGCCCCTATTATCACACTACAAACATGAAAAGAGAAAAAACGTTTTCATAAATATTTTTAATTAAATTGATAAGGACTTTATATAGACTAATGTACGAAGAAAATAATGACCCGCTTGTCATGAGTATATACAAATACTCCAGTGCAACTTTTTGATAAGGACAACTTGTTCATTATTACTTTCCAAATGTAAATAGAATATTCCATAAGCGAGAACTTAAATGAATTTAGTAACAAGAGTTTTAAATTTTAATTCTAGACAAGGCTTGTTTAAAAGGTCAATCAGAACCTGAAAACTTCTAAAATTCTGGATAATTTTTTGTGGCTAATGTTAAAATTTTTGCCCGACTTCTGCCAATTTTGATTATGAATATATTGTAGTTTTACAAAGCTGTTCTACCTCCAGCTCATGATAGATGCATGTTAATATAAAAACCACAATTACAGAAACAAATGACAAATAAAAGTTTGAAAAATCTAAAAATTAGTTTTCAAAATGCTATTCCATAAACGAACAAAGATTTAGGTTGACTTAGTTTAATTTCGACTTATAATTTATACTTGCTCACCCTATGCTCCTTTGTTCTTTTACAAGAAGCCAGCCAATGACCATGGTAAAATACGAAGGTAAAGTCATTTCCAATAAGCATTCCCATCTTTGCATGTTCTGTAATTTCGCTTGTCAAATTTTACTGCATTCAAAGCAAGTTTTAATCTCTGCTTTGTGTATGTACAATGGATTTATAAATATACATTTGGATTTATAAATAAAATTTTTGGCAAATGAATAATTTTGAAAAAAAAAATGTAAACATGATTGCATGACTTTACCTTCTTAATTCTACCATGCCGATGACTTAAGACAGTTAAAAAGGCGTTTTATGTATTCAGAACCTTTCTTTGCACATTTAATCACACAAAACCAATATTTTATTGAATTTTTTTTCAGTTGAATGAAGTTAACTGGCAAGTAAACAACTTTACCTGTTGCAATTTTTAATGTATATTTTGCTTGCCGCAGCCAATAATATATTTCGCCTATTTAAAATACATTAATTTTCGGGAAAGTTAAATCAGAAACTGGCAATCATGGCAAAAGCAAACCCATCTCTGCATTTTCTGTAATTTACCTTGTCACATTTCACTACATAAAAACAGGTTCCCATTGTATGTGCAGTGTATTTATAAATACAAATTTTGACAATGAGATGTTGTCAAATAAATAGTTTTTGAAAAAATTGTAAACATATGATTAAATGAATTTACCTTCTTGATTCTACCATGCTAACAATCTGCTATAACTTTTTTCTCGTCCAAATTTGTCGAATAGTTCGTTATAGTTTATCGAAATTGGTTTTCAAACTGTCAATTCCATTGTAAATGGGTCAAATAAATAAATGTAAACATAAAGTACCTTTGCATACAAAATTTTCGTGTTAATGTTTTAAATTTGACTATGGAAATAATTACTACTATTTACCAGACAAATTTGGCCGTTTCGGCTTGCTTCTTCTTGTACATTAAATTATCTATCAACGAAAGATCGGATATGAAGAGCGGATAGAACGTATCAGTCCTGCTCGGAACTTTCCCACGAATATAACATTGACATTAAATGCGAATTGAATGCCACAACCTTAAATTTCCATTAATATAGGATCTAGTAAACCTATTCTTTTTAAACTTTTGTCAAAATCATTTTGACAATGAGATGTTGTCAAATGGACAATTTTGAGAAAAAGTATTTCTCATGAGAACAAAACGTGATATCATTTTAATTTGCATTGCTTTTAAATTCTTTTTTAGAACCTTTAATCCCCTTAAACTTGTCGATCTATAGATCCCGTCGGACTGTCGGCTTTCTGTTTTGATTCTTCATATTTATTGCTATTTTACTCGTGTCGTATTTTTCTTTAGAGATGCCATGTTGCTGATTTGGTTGATTTGTGAAGATGAACAATTGCTTGGCTGACAAATGGTTTCAAGGATAACATATTCCAGAAGACCATTAACATAAAAAGGATTTTCCTAATTTCATGGACGTATTGCAGAAACTATAAAGGTAAGATGCGAAAAATATTTTAAACCATCCTAAATAAAGTGCATTTTTTCATCTAGAAATCCGATCCATTGGAGGCGCAGTGTGTGTGCTGTATTTATTTGTAAACAAAAACAAAGAAAAGGGCAAAAAGATGAGTAACACCATTCCAAGCTCTCCTCTAAATCCTAGTCAAAAACGACGTATTGTTAAGGCACAAGAATTTGAAGTAATATGTGATTTTATTGACCGATATAAAGGATTAGCTATTGACTGTGAAATTGAGTTATTGCAACAATTTCCACAATTTGAAAAACTAACATTGAAAAGCATTTTAGAAACAATATTTACAAATCGTATGCGTAATCAATATTGGCGTTATGATGCCAATGCAAAAACATATTTAAAAATGTGAGTAAATGTTTTATAGTTTTGTCTCTAATTAATGAGGAACTCCTTTTCATTCAATACGAAAGGTATGAAGAACGTTGTCAATCATCATATCCAATGGATCGAAGTATATTACTGAACATTGCCCGAGAATGTGATATGGGACCTGTTATGATGTGTCGTTCTCTGTTAAAGGTTAAATATAAAATTACAAATAAAGTCGAGTTGACCCAGCTAATACGTTCACCACATCTAATCGATGATCCAATGCTATCCGCAAATGTTGCTCAGTGTATTTGTAGTGATTCCACAGATGGGCCTCTAATTGATTTAAAACGTCGAGTTCTTGGAGAGGAATATGAATTTCGGGTATGTACATTTCTGACAAACTTTATAAATTAACGTAGAGGAGATCTTTTTTCCAATATAACTATAGCAATTATTGTGACAATTATAGAATATTACTTTTGGTTATTTGTTAGTGCTTGAGATTAAGTTTGTATTGCAACATATTAAATATTTGTCTATTAGTTAAAACAAATGGCCACACAAGCAGGAATGCACTTTTATGACGAAAATGATCTCAGACGATTGGGATATGATAAAACACCCGACATTAAAATGCTACTACCGTTTCTCTATAAAGGAGAAATAATAAATTGGATTGAGAGTAAGGCAAATTTTGGTTGCATAAAAACCCACAAAACTTATATACAACAACAATTGAGTAGTTATTGTAACAGGTTGGTAAAATTTAACAATATCATTCTCCTCTTCTTTTGTTTGATATTTTTATTTTTACATAGATTTGGTCCCGGCATTGTGATCTATTGGTTTGGTTACCACGAAGATACAGCCACATTAACACAAAATGCTTTAGGTATTACAGTCCTTGATGATTTTCCTGCCAAAGAAGATATTCAATTGTTAGATTTAAGCGAAGCCTGTGAATCTTATGATACATCAACTGAAAGCATACAGATCACATGATATTTAAAAAATTACGCCTTGGAAACGAGTTGCCTATGTCAAAGAATACCACTTCATTTAGTTAGAATACTCATTTGACTTGTTTGTAGTTTTATAATTAACATACAAACGAAACATTTGTTACTTACATAAAGTTAAAAAACGATTCTCATTCTAAAATTAAAAACAAATTGTTAGGCATACAGAAATGTATCACGAAAGGAAAATATATGTGTATATTAAAAAAATCTTTTTTTATTTTATTTTTTAAGATCAATAATAAAGTCGACTACTTTTTTATGTAAATGTTTATATTGTTTTTATTTCAATATTTTGTTTACATTAGCGATTCTTATTCTAATATTGAAAAAAACATTAGACAAAAAGAAAAGTATAATGATTTATATTCATTGTATATATATAGCACCTAGAAATCGTGTTTTACAAATTTTTGATGCCGAATCCGACCAATAAATATTAAAATAGTATAGTAACATTGATGGCAGTAATATGCACGTTCGATTAAATGCTACATTACTAAAACTCAATATTTGGTCTATCTAATTTATAATTTTCAGGATCGTCTATTGTTGCAGTCAATTCTTTAAGGACATCATAATCGTTGGTTACACCAGTATTTATGTGGAAATATGGACCATCCTCATCTAAACGAAAAAATCGTAATAATTTTACAAACTTTTGCTATCTGATATAAAACTCACCTGACATTGGTAGGATTTCCTGATGACTTTCCAAACTAGGCTTACCCGTAATGGCAAAGGACGTCCACAGTTGGACCATATTTTTGGAAACTTTGGTATCAGCTTCATTCAGTTTATGTGTAGAAAACAAGTAAATGTTGTCGTTGGAATGATGAACACCTCCCTCAAAGGGATAATGATCATTACCGAACTCGTAACCAAAACGTGTGTTACTACCTTCATAATCGAAACTGTACAAGTAGACGGGAGCAAGAGCTTTACGAAACATGCGTGTGGCTAAACTGATCACCGGAGACTTCATAGCAACAATGTTTGTTAACTGAGAAAAGAAAAAATAACCTTATAAGACTAGTTTATTTTCGTATTATTATGCTGGAATGACTTACATCAAAGTAGGCTGGTAGGGCTTTTTTGTGATCTGTACTGTGAAGTAACTCATTGGAAAACAACATCTTGAGCAGTAAGTTATCTGCAAGGCCGGTATTGTCATTTGCCTTGCTGATAATAGTATATGCGAATTCTCGAACTGTGATATGACTGAAATTGCCTATGGCGGCCTTTACATTATCGTAAACAGCTTGAAAAGTAAGAAAGAAATATATATGTTATGTAAACATTGTAAAAAGCAAACTACATTCAATGAATAACAATTGAAAAAACACATGTAAATAAAGATTTCCAATATTCTTTTAACAACTCAAGTAAATGTAGTAGTATGATACTTATATACAATTACTTACTAGCCAGTACAAAGGAACCATCATGTTTTGTAAAGCCCGTCATCAATGGTATGGATCTATTTAATTGGGTAATTAACTCTGCCGGTTCTCGAGGCAATATACCATAAAAATCGTTTACAATGGGACCAAAAGATTCCTAATAATAAAATAAACACCAATATACTTTTGTGCACTTCCAAAATGTTGATATTTATATATACCTCTTCGGTAACCTCCAGAATTTTTGGTACTGCCACATTACGCAAACACACATACAAAAAGTCAATATTATCACAAAAACTGCAACCAACGGCTTTGCAAATCCGTTCAGCTTGCTCCAAAGGATTGCGCGTAAATGCCCATGAAGAAAATATGGATCCAGATTGTTGTATGGATCTTTGAAAATATGTCTCTGGTGTTTTTGGACTAAACAATAATGATCCCGACATGGTGGTACCAGCACTTTGACCAAATATTGTAACCTGTTTTGGATCACCACCAAATAGATGTATGTAATCTTGTACCCACTGAAGTGCGACATAAAGATCACTGACAGGAGCATTACCGGGCATATTTTCCGATCTGGTTGATAACCAACCTAAAGCTCCAATGCGATAATTGGGTACAACCAATACAATATCTTTTTCCAGCAAATAATTGGGAGGATGATCAATATTCGAGCCATTATAAAAACCACCACCATATATGTAAAACATTACTGGCTTTTGTTCCGTCATCTTTAAAAAAGAGAAGATTTATCGTTCAAATAAGTTGTTGGTATATTTTAATTATTGGTCACACATACATTTTTCGTATAAACACACAGGTTAAGACAATCTTCCAAATCTTGACCGAGTTCAGATTCGCTTAGCTCTCGAATGGTTGTTATAACAGGACAACGACGTCCATGGGTTGTGGCATCTAAAATGTGTCTCCACGGTGACTTTTTAACAGCATGCTAGATGACAAACGACAATATTGGAAAATAATATATGTTTCATACGATCATATATAATTTATTTATCAAAAAACCTTGAATCTTAGCTCTCTACTGGGAGACTCTGCGTAAGGTATACCCAAAAATCGCATAAATGTCTGATTTGTCCATGACGTTTTTCCATAATCACCCAAGATTGTACCTTGACCTGGTAAATCTACAGTAATAGATGATGGCGTTGATGATGACGAACCACGAAAAGTGGACACTGCCACTGCGGCTACTAAACAAAATACCACAATTCTCATAACTAGCACACCGAATGTTTTCACTAAACTAAAGACCATTGATCTCTTTATTGTTATTAATAACGGAAAAGCAAACAATATTTTTTTAAATACATGAATGGAGTGTGGATTTATTTCCCTGCTCTCTTTTAAATGCCAAATGTGTTTTTGATAAGATCCAAAATATACTCAATACGGAGGTTTGGCAAGTGTTTGCTAACAATAATTTGTATAATAATTGTACAAACAGATAAGCAATCTTTATGGGTGACAATAGTCTTAAGAGAGCGCAATGAAATAGATTTATACATAACTCTTTAATTTTATTAATGGCAGCGTAAAGATACTCTACATTTTAATGTAATTAATTACAAATTGTGTTACGGAAGTGTATATGTAATATAAAGGAATGTAACTAGCTTTATACACAAATAAAATATAACAGTTATTCACAAAAAATATATAAACATTTTCTTTAAAAAGATTAAAAATAAGATTTGATTGTAGTCCAAAACAGTAGTTAGTTTTTTGCTTAGTGTCCTTGAATTTACATTTTATAACAAAGTCCTACAGGAAACAATGCTTCCAAATAACTCATATTTAGAACTAGTTTCAAGGTGTCCCACAGTATTAAAGATTATTTCAATAAATAATGCCACAGTTTGTAAAAAGCTTAGCGGTGACGATGCTGTCGTTGGTAGTAACACTAACATGACAACTAATTTTGATAATAATTCTATAAATTAAAAAAAAATCTTCAATAATTTTAGAATAATTTGAAATTTATTTTAGAAAGTAAATATTACAATTTTAAAAAAAGAAATTTCGAAAATAATAAGGAGCATTTATTTCCATTTTCGTAGGGATGTTGCCAGCAAACAGCAATGTACCAATTAAGTTTTATTTAAAGCTAAAATAAAATAGTTTATGAGTTCACTTCATCCAAAGTATGAGCCATCCAATCTGGTTCCGCCGCAGCTATTTTCTCAATAATCGAATTTACTTGATAGCAAAGCGATTGTATTTGACGATCCCATAATGGCAATACTTCACGTTTTTCAAAATGGACAATACCACTGATTTGATCAATGTGTCCATTCATACGACCTTCGGTTATCATTTGTGAAGCAATATTTTCAGCTTTGGATGCGGGAATTTCTAGAAGTGCTCCCAATTCAACAAAGGTTATATTATTGTATAGCTTACTTGCTGACAAGAGATTATGTTCAAAGACAGCACGGTCTAAAATCGACGAACCATCAACAGTGGCAGCCTTTTGATGTGGCTGTAATAATGCCTCGAATTCTTGCAATTCGGAACGACGTATAATGCGATCCAAGTACATTTTCTCCAAAATGGAATAGGCTGGCAGTTGCTGGCAACGTTCATCTTTGAAGAGCGTGGCTAACATACGAGAACGTTGTTGACCGGCCGAAGCCAAAACGGTACAAATGAGAGCTTTCTTCAACGCCGTCATGCGTTCTCCTTCATCGACAATTGTACGATAGGACAATTCGTTGTAGCGTTGGGCAGCTTCGATGAACTTACGACGATAATCAAGAACACGAGCATAGCACACCTTGTACATGACCTGAAGATGAATTTGATCATTAAAAAACAATCCACTTAATTGTCTAACCACATATTTACCTGCAATTCCTCACTGTGAGTATCTGCTTGATACAATGAGGCACGGTTTATGAAAAACTCAGCTTGTGCCGAATCATTTTCTTCCAAAAAGAGACGTGCTATTTTAAGATAAGTCTCCAACTTATAATCCACTGTATACTGTTTCTGCCCAGTCTCTAAAGGTATACCGACGAGAACGTTGGCAGCATCACGCCACTGTTGATTCCGTTCATAAATATCAGCCAAATGCTGGCGAATGCCAGCAACTTGCTCTTCAAAAGAAATTACTCGAGGTAGAACTTTGTCCAAAGTGAAGTGCGAAACTACTTTGGAAACATCGTCAGGAAGTTTACTTAACTGTATGCCAACGTCGTTGAGTATCTGTCGTGATATAACCAGGCTAACGTGTTCGTTAACAATGGCTTCTACGAAAAGTTTTAAGGTATCAACAAGATCATTGCCGGTATTGGTTAGAACCATTTCTAATAATTGACGGTACCGGTCTGTCTGTTCCTTGTGGGTTCCTGAAAAGTTGACCAACGACATCAGTTGGCTGCGTAAATTGTTAGCGCTTATACCCATGGTGCTTTCTCTTTGTTTATAGTGCACAGTTTATTAATATATTTTTTTTCGCAATATTAGTGTTTTTGCAATAAACAATAGAGCTATGTTATTCTGTTGACTTCCGATTAATTCAATAATCGACCTCGAGTACTCAAAGTTCTGATACTTGTGTGGGAACCGAGTACTCGACTATTCATAGTCGATTTGTTCAACTCATGTCCAATTCAACTTATGCCCTGTTCCAGAACTGCACTCATGGCAGATGACAGGTAGATGCATCAACGCTTGGGAGTATTGATATGTCAAAAAATTTTAAATGTTTTTTTTAATATAAGTAGATTTTTATATGTTTTTTTATACGACGTCATTTGGAGGTTATTATAATTCGTGTTTTTCAACAATGTTAATAAATTTAAATAATTGTTCATTCAACATTTTCAATTCCAAAATTGGTTTGACTGTTCATTGTCTCAGCAGCTGTGTCGATGCGTCTACCTATATTCATCTACCATGACTGCACTGTTACACTACACTTTTTGTTTTTTAAGGTGGAAACACATAAAGCGCTTATCTGGCTGGCTAAAGTCATCGGCTGGCTTCTTCGGAAATGAACAAAGGAGACTAGGGCCAAAATCGAACTAGGTCAACCTATAACTCCTTTGTTCATCTACGAAGAAGCCAGCCGATGACTTATGCTAGGAACACAATTGGAGCGAACGACGAATTTTTTCGCGGCGTATGTTCGTCGTCGAAAATAAAACACATATGTGTATATGGAAGTGCACACAATCACGGCACCGGCGAAAATTTCGTCGGTCGCCGCGAACTCAATTAGCTTTATTTCTATTTCATACGCCGGCGACCGGCGAACAAAACAGTACAAGGTGGCCATACTTGTACGAATTTTATGTGTTTTAGTAAATAAAGTTACTTTTTACTTTAAAATTTGTTATGGTCACTCTACTATCTGTTACTCGTATAAAAAAAACATAATTAATTTGTTTATTTATTTGTGTACTTGCGCCTGAGTGAAGATGGATATCAGTGAATTTATAATAGAGAAGATGGACATAAGTGAAATTATAATAGAGAACGTAAAGAATTATGTGTTCTTGTATAATTCATTGTAGTCAACAAATGAGCAAAAAGTAAACAACTTCATCAGCTGTTTTATAATTTCGTCGGTATTGTGTTCCATACGACGAATTTTCGCGGCTCATTTTGTCGCCGCGTAGGGCGAAATTCGTCGTTCGCTCCAATTGTGTTCCTAGCATTAAGCCAGCCAAATATGCGTTTTATGTATTTCCAGCCTTAGGATTTTGTAAAGCGACTTTGTATTCATGCATTGTATATACCGTAGTAGAAGAATACAGGTAGTCGTATCAACACAGCAGCTGGGAAAATGAACTGTCAAAACAATTTTATATAATTATACCATTAAGAAGGTAAAGTTATTTCAAATAAGCATAATCATCTCTGCATTTTCTGTAATTTATCATTTCACTACATAAAAAACATGTTCCCATCTCTGATTTATGTATGTACAATGGATTTATAAATACAAATTTTGACAATGAGATGTTGTCAAATGAATAATTTTTTATAATTCTTGATGATCCAATCCATGGTAGAATCAAGGAAGTAAAGTCATGCAAACATATGTTTACAACTTTTTCAAAATAATTCGTTTGACAACATCTCATTGTCAATATATACATTTATAAATTTATTGTAATTACACAAATCAGAGATGGAAACTTAGTTTTTATGAAGTGAAATTTGACAAGGAAAATTACAGAAAATGCAGAGATGGGTATGCTTATTTGAAATGACTTCACCTTTATAATTTTACCACGATCCAATCCTTGTGAAAAATAAATATATTTTTTGTGCAACTTCACTTTTTTTATTTCACTTGTCTTAAAGCTAGCTTGATAAAGAAATTAAAAGCTCAATAAGATACAACATTTTAAACGTTTTGATACACATTATAAGTATTTTTTTAGGTTTGTTCAACTATATCTTCCCATGACAAGATTTATTAATAATCTTTCACAAAACCTATCTACCAGGGCTTATTAAGAAAGGTTGCTCAACTAGAAAAATGCAACTCTGTGCGACAATGTGATGTTGTTAAATGAATAATTTTGAAAAAAATGTTTAAACATATTATTGCATGAATTTACCTCGTTGATTCTACCATTTCAAAACAATACGCACATACACACAAAATTTGTATATATTTTGACAGAATAGGAGCACCAAAAGAAAAAATATATATTTTGGGGATAGTTTTGTTCCACCTTCTGTAATTGTGTCACGCTATATACTAATACTATCCAACTCTGTTCCAAACTTAAAAATTCATCACATTTTAGACAATACAAAGAATTGTAAGCGTATTGTTTACAGTCTGGCCAAAACTACAATTAAAGATGTTGGTACATAAGCAGCTTGGCATCATGTCTAGGGATATTAATGTTTAATTATAAGGAAAAACGACGACAGGATTCGAGTGTGACTCTCACATCCTTTTATGAAATGTCAAAAACAATTACATTGGTACCATACCAATTACATTTATATTTCAAAAAAATCCATGCGGAGACTTGAAGCTGCTTATGTACACACACATTAAAAATGAATTTACTATTTGGATTTGCAGACACTAATCAAATAATCTGTCTGTTCCAGAACCTGCAAAAATCTACTAGTTTTGCATTTTTTTTTGCGATATCATAAAGGGAAAATCGGTTATCGTAGTAAAATCTTTCACATCCTTGCAGTCCTGGAACAGAGCAAATATGAATACTTATTCTGTAATTTTTTTAACTTTAGTTTTTCCTCTACATCGTTTTTGATCATTTTTGGTTGTAGCATGGTACAATAAGGAGGTAGAACAGCTTCGTAAAACTACAGAAATACAGCCCTGAGGTTATGCCCGCTTTCTGTCAGACTCATTCAAAATTATATACAACAAGTTGTTTTCATTTGTTCCATATTTTTCCTTATTTTTATAATGAGTTAAATAACACGAAAAATGAATGAAATGCCTGTATTTTCTCTCAAAAATTTGATCCAAACTGTTTAATCTTTCAATTTCATGGCTAAACTGGTTAATAGCTTAAATACGCGAGCCGCAGAGTAGGTGTCTTCCAATCATTGGTTTTGAAAATATTTTTTTTCATTTTTCAAAACAATAAAAACATATACTTTTTTTCCAATCATTCGTTTTGAAAATATTTTGTTTTCATTTTTCAGAACAATAAAAACATATATTCAGCTGATAGCTCTACCTTACCTTTTATTGTACCATGGTTTTATTCGGTATTGTTTGAATCATGGTAGAAGAACATTAGATTTTTATTTGTTTTTTTATACGACGCAAATCGGATATTGCTATGATATGAATTTTTCAACAATTTTTAAAAATCTTTATAATTTTTCACAAACATTCACGCCTTTGCGGAAGCCTTTGCAATTTTGGAGTGTACCCCAGTACCACTGTAAAAACCCAGTGAAACTCAGAAGATTAAAAAAAAGGGAATTAGAAATAACAAAATTTTTTATTATTTCGAACAAATATTCCAACAAAGCAAATATAACCAACACGTGAAAAAGTGTATATCAGTTTTCCCCTAACCTTCAGTGCGTACAAACGCATTGTTTCACGTAATTTGCAATATTAAAAAATACTCTTGTGTGGATAGGGTCTAATTAATTTCACGGACAATAATCTTTCAATTCGACAATAATCTATTAATCGATAAGTCAAAATTCGATTTAAGTATCCCTACTAACAGACAAATATACACAGAAAGACGGAAAATAGCTTGAAGCACTGTAATGAAACATTTAAACATTTAATTAATTGTTAATTGTGATAAATAATTATTTTCGCAATAAAAGTCTTAAAGAAATTAACTGTGGAATTTGAAACTCATTAGCTGGCCAGTGCGGCCTGAGACTCTGGTTTTTCAAGGTGCATAAAATTATAGTTGTATGTATTGTTGGTGCCTGGCAACATATACGGAGACAGCAGCGTGAATAGTGTTGTTGTGTTGTTGTCACAACATTCTGGTTCTCTCCCCATTTCCTCCGCAAATAATTACCAACTTGCAGATACAACAAGAAAATAAAGAAAGCAATGGGTTATGACCTACATCGTTTCCAGGGCGAGGTCGATGAAGAATTAACATGTCCAATATGTTCCGGCGTATTGGAGGAACCTTTACAGGTTCGTATATTCATTAATGTTGAATTATAAATTCCGAGCCGATTTTACTATTAATTTTTATAGGCGGCGATGTGTGAGCATGCATTTTGTCGTGCATGTATAAATGAATGGCTCTCCCGGCAGCCAACCTGTCCTGTTGATCGTAATTCACTGACCACTGCAAATTTAAGAGCTGTTCCCAGGATTTTGAGAAATCTTTTAGCAAGGTAAGATAATTAAATCATGGAAGATACTGTCTTTTGAAATCTTAGCTCAAAGAACATGTATTTCAGTGACAAATCTAGATCCAAATCCATAATATACAGTTTCAAACTAAATAATTCTTGGCAAACATATTAAGATTTTTTTCATGTTTGGATCAAATTGACGTCTGTTTCTACTTTTAATATCTACTTGTTTTGTTGTTGATACATATATTTTTCCTATGGAAGGATCTAAAATCCTTAATAGACACATGCAGGACTAACTTGCCTGAGTGTAAATCGGCAAAGTTAATTTGATTACATCCAAAGTTAGTTGGACTTGAAGTACCTACAATTTGAAACATATAAAATATATATTGGAATAAATAAAACACTAACAAATTATTTTTTTCCTAGACTCTCTATAACTTGTGATAACGCAGCCCATGGATGTACGTTGGTATTGAAACTTGATGCCCTAAATGCTCATTTAGATGAATGTGAACATAATCCAAAAAAACCATTACCATGTGAAAAGGGATGTGGCATTGTTATACCAAAAGACGAGCTCAAGGATCACAACTGTGTACGAGAACTGCGTGCCATGATATTAACACAGCAACAGAAAATGGTCGAGTTCAAAACAGAAATAGCAGATCAAAATTTAACTATAAATGAATTGAAGCGTGAAGTGCAACTATTTAAGGATTTTATGCGTGCTATGCGTGTGTCCAACCCAGCGGTACGAGCTATAGCCGACCAGATGGAACGTGACGAAGTAATACGTTGGAGTAGTACTTTGGCTAGAGCACGAGTTACACGTTGGGGTGGTATGATTTCAACACCAGATGATGCTCTACAAGTGGGTTTTTTTCAGAATATTTATAAATTATTCTATTAACTTTTACAATTAATATTCCCATTCAATATATTTTCAGATGATGATTAAACGAGCGTTGTCAGAGTCTGGCTGCCCTCCCCATATCTTAGACAATCTAATGGAAAATTGCCATGAGCGTCGTTGGCCTCGTGGCTTGAGTTCACTGGAGACTAGACAGAATAACCGCCGTATATATGACAACTACATTTGTCGGCGGGTACCAGGTACCATTTAAAATTTATTTCAGAAAAATTTGATATGAGTCTATAAAATCTAAGACTTTATTCATATACACAAATTATTGTCCCATATTTTTGTGAATTGTTAATTATTTACATATGTCAGGGAGCCTTACATCAGACATCCATAAATTGAATATTAGTAAAAACGAGAATTACTACACATAATGAAAGAAGATTTTACCCCCGATACATGTCATGGACCCTGTGTGAAAGCTGTACTAGTGTACGGTGCATCAGATGTGGCATTTATAGGCAACCATAATAGTTCCTAAATGATCGACGGATAGGAGGTTGGTTGATCTTTATGGTATACAGTTAATTCATATACTTTCCTTGTTTGATGCCTTTGATGGACATAGGATATTTTAAAAAATGTCTGGGTACATCACTATTGAGTTTTTAAGGCAGAACCAGGATTTGCGTTTAATTTTCTTCATCTCACAATTGTACTTATTATAGGCTGTCTTGTAAAGCCCCAGTCATCACATATTTTAGTCTTTTACGGTCTCTACCATATTGACATTTTCTGCCTGGAAAGGTGGGAATGGGGAGATATTGATGAGCCTTCAAGAACAATAAAATTTGTACTTTTCTTTTATATAATAGAAGTACTTCTTTTTTATTGGTCATAATGGACGCAATGCACCACGGATATGCTGATACACCTTATTTTATATGAAGTAATAACGCAGACGGCTAAGGATTAGGAAATTGGGAATGAAGCAAGAAGCAAGTACATCAAATTTGGAGAAAATCGGTTCAGATATAGCTTTAGCTCCCATATATATATTTCATCCGATTTGGGGGGTTTAGGTCCCTCACATGCGTAATATGCACTCCACAACAATGATATTTGGTACCAAATGTCAGATACATCCCAGAAATACCTCTGTCAACTTTTATCCAGATCGGTCCAGAAATAGTTATAGCTCCTATATATATGTTTCATCCGATTTGATGTTTGAAGTCCCATATATATATATATATATATATATATATATATATATATATATATATATATATATATATATATATATATATATATATATATATATATAACTATAACTGCTCTAAAGCCAAAGTTGATAGGTGGTATGATCTACTTCAAATAAATTATTTTGTTACGGCAGCTTTACTAAATATGCATAGTGGTGTAGGCTATCAAATAGTCGGCCCGCCAGACTTTTGACTTTTCCTTACCTGTTTTGTATGTTTATTATTGGTTACTTTGGTTACATCTATTAATAATATAAGCTATTATTTAGTTTGTACTGTGATTTTTACACAGAAACCTGAATCTCGCAGAATTTACAAAATTCCATATGATTTATTTTTATTTGTAATTTCTTTTTTTTTCAGGCAAACAAGCTGTTCTAGTTCTGAGTTGTGATAATGCACACATGGCCGAAGATGTTATGGTTGAACCTGGTCTTGTTATGATATTTGCTCATGGTGTGGAGTAAACCGAAAGTAATTTGAAACATTATTTTATGAATTTATCAATTGAAATGTTATACATCGTCTTTGATGCGCCAGATTTACTATCTTACTACTATGTATTTTCCACTACTAGGTACGATCATCAATATTTTGTCATTGTGTAAAAGACAATGAAATGTAAGCAGATATATTACCATAACTAATGTTAAATGATAATTCTTCGAAATATAGAATCGTTTAATGTCATGAACTTCTTCAGTAGTCCATGATTAACGTATCCATGACTTGCTTTCATTACTTAGTATATATTTTATTTGTAATTTGGCCTTAATAAAATTAAATGTGTGATTATGCTTGTTTAGTAGTTTATATTGTTATTGTCTCTTAATTTTCTCATTAGTATTACCTCTCGCGTATGTCAAAATTAGATCCGATATATTTTTAAGATTTTTTTTTTAAATTTTATATGATTCCAACACCTCAATTGTAATCAGTTTTGTGCGAATTTTATTGCATTAGATTACAAAGAATTGTTATATACGTTAAGGTCCACAATGATCACTGCTTTGTTTTTGTTTTTTATGTAACTATTCAATTAGTTATTTTCATCGCACTTTTCATTTTTTTCGTTCATCAACATCATGTGCATACTTACTTTACTTGAGATTTTCCTATTAGTATTAGTATGCTATTCGCCATTTAATATGTGACTTGTGTAAAATAAAACAAAATGTATCATTTAATTTTAAAATATGTGTATTCAAGTTTGTGGAAATTATGATTATTTTCCTTGATGAATAGTAAATATATAAGAGAATAAATGCTAAAATGTATAAAATCTGGTTTCATTTTACAGAACAATTTATTAGTTGTAATTGGTAGACTGGTTGGTTAAGAAAAAGAAAAAAGCGGCTAGCATCATTCCGATGGGATTTTTCTGAACGAAATTCGAATTTGGGAATATTTTTCTAGGGGAAAGTGTGTATTCTGAATGTAAAAAAGGGAAAGAATTTCACAAGTGTGTATTCTGAATGTAAAAAGGAAGGAGAATGCCCCGACTTTTTTCGGGGGAAACATCGCCAAATATTACAAGGGAATTTGTTACAATTAATCCGTAAAAATTCTTTAAATGAAAGTTATAAAAATTATGTTGCCAAATTGTTTATTTTTCCTTTATGATATCGAAAATATAGTACAAATTGGCAGGTTCTGAAGCACAACTATAATTGTATAGTCTAGTTTTATGGTAGTTTATTAGAAAAACAGAAACCATGGTAGCATTAGGAAAGAAAACTCATTGTAAATAAGTATTCCACCTGTAATTTGTCTTGTTAAATTTAACTTATTTTAAATCATTCAACTTTGAACATTTGTATGTTATACTTATATCGGTATATCATGTCGGTATGGTATGTATGTCTTATATCGGTATGTTATATATGTATGTCATACATGTGTTTAAATTCAATGTGGACATGGTAGAAGAATATAGGAAGTCGCATCGACACAGCTGCTGGTACACAGAACTGTCAAACCAATTTTGGAATTGCAATTTTTAAATTACTTAACAAAACGACAAAGGCGATGGTCGGAAACTTTTTTGTGGTTAAGGAACAGCGACACCACGTTAGATAATATATTCGTATATTTAATGTTTCCTAAAATTGCAAAATTTAGAACACTTTATGTATGTATGCTGTTTGGTTTCAATTTGAAAGTGATGTTGCCTTTTCCGCGATTTTCCAGCGATTGGTTGAAGTGTTGAGAGATTAGGACCAACAGCTAACAACTATGAATTCAGGGGAATGAGGAATATTCTAAGAACTATTTTCTGCATTTTCAATGTAATAATCCAAATTCCAAAAATGTATATTTTTGAAATTAAAATAATTTATTGGAAATTAATTATTTTGTTTATATTTTTGGGCACATAACTCTGACACTTGTATTACGTACAAAAACAAATTTGTATGTGGTTGTTGTTACGATTGTTCTACAACAACACTTGCTGTTACCTGCATTTTTCTACCATGGGAGGTACCGTTATATGGGGCTATACAACAACACGTTTCGCCCCCCGGATCTAGAACCCATTATGACACACAAATACCAATTTTTAGACAAATTCGCGAAAAAATGTGGCAAAAATCATCAAAATACCGAATTTCGGAAGGTACCGTTACATGGGGTCTATACCAAAATGTGGACTTATACATACAATGTTTAGCCACCGGAGAAGGAATCCATCATGACCAACAAATTCCAATTTTTAGACAAATCCGCGGGAAAATGTGGCAAAAATCATCAAAATACTACAACCCATTACGACGTACATAAATCAATTTTTAAATAAATGCGTGGAAAAATGTGGTGATAATTATCAAAATACCGAATATTGGGAGGTACCGTTATATGGCGGCTATACCAAAACGTGGACCGATATCATCCTAGACAATACCAATTGTTCTGCCAAATTTTGAAGCTCTACGTCAAATAATGTGGGCTGTATCGTGATTTCAACAGACAGAGGGATATCGACTTTGAATTTTAAGCTGATTATGAATATATATACTTTATGGGGGTATAATGAATATTTAGTGATGTTACAAACGGTCTGCATTGATAATCGATTTTCCCTTTATGATATCGAAAAAAAAAATGCAGAAGAATGTATTTTCTACTGGCTAAAAAACCCTTTAACCCCTTAAGTCAGATGATCCGTACCAGTATCTGCAAGTATCTACTAGTTTTGCAATTATCTGTATACAGGGTGAGATGAAAAAACTGCAACCAACTTCAAACTGCTCCAAGCCACTCGTCCGACTTCTATTAAAATTATTCCAGTGACAGCTCATTATATTGATACAAGCGTACAAAAGCATTTTGGTGAGAAATTTCCAGAAGAAAATTTATTCGTTATGGAATTCAAGCATGACAGTGTGATTTCTTTATATTTGGCTGGAAAACCACAAATGGCTATCGTTAGAACACTCCAACATTTAAATGTGAATAAATCTTTTGTGTCTCTTACCACCGCTCGTTACCGTGATACTGGTAGCGTAGCCCGACGTTAAACAAGTGGACGAAAGAAAATAGAAACAAGCCAAACCTGACCAGTGAAAGAGAATTGCCTATATTGCCCCCATATAACGGTACACCCCATATTCGGTATTTTGATAATTTTAATTCTCAATGGAATTGTCTGAGAATTCACACAAGGTATTCCTTCTGAGTACTTTACCTCCTGGAGAGAATTGTCTATGTAGGTCCACGATATCGTATGGCCCCAATACAACGGTACCAACAATATTCGCTATTTGGATGATTTTAGCGACATCTTTACCGGAATTGTTTTAAATTTCGTATTTAAAGTTCGTACAGCCTATGACAAGCCCCCCGTATAGCCCCCATATAACGTGTTTCATTTGAGTGGTATTTTTTGGCCCGGCTGAACTTAGCTTCTTTTTATACCCTCCACCGTACTATGGAGGGTATATTAATTTTGTCATTCCGTTTGTAACTCCTCGAAATACTCATGTCAGACCCAACAAAGTATATATATTCTTGATCAGCGTAAAATTCTAAGACGATTTAGCCACGTCCGTCTGTGTGTCTGTCTGTCTGTTGTAATCATGCTATCTTTCGAACAAATTGAGATAGAAGGCTAAAATTTTGCACACATGTATATTTTGCCAGTAGGCAGGTTAAGTTCGGGCCATGGGCCATGTAGGTCCACGTCTTCATATAGTCCCCATATAACGATACCCCCCGATATTCTGTATTTTGATGATTTTAGCGACATTAATTAACGGAATCTTTCCAAATTTGGTATTTGGTAATAGATACTGCAGCATAAAACAGAAAATGGGCCATGTAGGTCAACGCCTTCGTATAGCCCCCATATACCGTACCCCCCGATATTCGGTATTTTGATGATTTTAGCGACATTATTTACCGGAATTGTTTCAAATTTCGCATGTGAAGTTCGTAATGGATACTTCAGCCCATGCCATTGTCTGTGCAGGGCCACGTCTTCGTATAGCCCTCATAAAACGGTACCCCCTATATTCGGTATTTTGATGATTTTAGCTACATTATAAACAGATTTTTCTTCAAGTTTCGCATTTAAATATTGTAATAACTTATGACAAAAGTTGACTATGCAGGTCCAGGCATTCGGTATTTTTAAGATTTTAACAGAATTTTTAACGGATTTAATTTTTTTTTTTTAGAAATTGCCAAATTTGTACTTTAAAGTTGGGCCCTACCGAACTTAGCTCCTTTTTTACTTATTTACTTGTTATTATATATTAAATTTGAACGTTGAGGCTAGAAGTGATGGACTAGATATGCCATGAAGATCAATATGTAATTTTAAGTTTTATTGAATGTTAACGTGTTTGAAACAGACAATAATACATAGGAAAAATAAATTATCGTTATTTTATTTGTTTGTACTAATAACATATATATTGATTTTAAACTGTACGAGTGGTACAGTATGACCACTTATGTTTAATTATCTGATGTGAGGACAATAGAGAAGAACATCTGAATCGTCATCTCTAACTGTAATACAAAGAGTGATCATTCATTCTAAAGAGGTAGACTCTCCTAGCCGGTTCTGACAAACTCTCTCGCACTCAATCTCTTATTGGTGGCAATCATCTGTTATGGAACTCTGGCTTGGTCTCGTTGATCACACATGTCAATATGAATAATTTCGATTTTTATAGGAAACAAGTTCCAGCAATTAATGCAATAAATAACACCTACCTACGACGAAGTCGGAGAAAACAAGTTTGCGAGCAGTGGTATTGTCTTTTATTTTCTTGTCTCCTACATTGTTTTTTTTTTTGTATTTCATACAGTATCTAACAAAAGTGCGAGCTTAAAGAACGTTTATGTATTTTTAGTATACAACAATGTATTTTCAATGCCTAAAGTTTTGAATAGCGTACATGTCTATCCGGATAGACCTCGTCCTCTTTTTAATATACCATGACGATCGGTCAAGGGATTACAATTTATAATGAACAGACACGCGTACATACATATATATTGACTTAGTTTGTGGAGATATAACTTTCGGTGCGATGAAAGTTGGGTATAGGACATATATTTTGGAATGTTACAAACTTCTGGGCCACAACAAACTCACAATACTAGTATTTGATAGCAACAAAAACAGTATGTTCGAAGTTCTTCTAAAGTCGTTTTTACCAATTCCAAACATTTACATGCCTTCCATTGTTTGGTTTTATTTTCAAATTACAAAACCAGTAAAGAAAGTCTTAAAGTCGGACGGGGCCGACTTTATGATACCCTACACCACTTTGCTAATTTAGTAGAGCTCCACATAACAATAAAAGTTTTTATTGGAGAATTCAATCATACACGCTATGATTATAATGTTAACTTAAAGTTCAATGGACTAAATATGCCGAAGCATTTGTATCTCTTAAATTCGGAATTGTATTGCCCATTTGGTGCACAATTAATTTGAAATCGGATAAAGATATATATGGGAGCTATATCAAAATCTGAACCGATCTGGATAAAATTTGGCAAAGATATTTCTGAGCTGTATTTGATATATTTCCCTGAATATCGTTGTTACGGAGTGCATATTACTGTTGTGGGTAACAAATATAACAAATCGGATGAATAATATATATGGTGGACGTCGGTGGACAAAAATAACAAATCGGATGAACAATATATATGGGAGCTATAGCTATATCTGAACCGATTTCGATCAAATTTGGCATACATATTTTCAGACCTAATTTGGGTGTATATGCAAAATTCCATTCAATTCGGGATGATATTACACGCTTGGTGCACAATAAAAGGCAAATCGGACGAAGATATATATGGGAGCTATATCTAAATTTTTACCGATTATTTCCAATTTCAATAGGGTTCGTCCTTGAGCCAAACAAATGATCTGTGCAAAATTTCATCTGGATCGGGCAATAAATGCGACCTGTACTTTGTTTACAAAAATACATGGACAGACGGACAGACGGACGGACAGACGGACGGACGGACATGCATAAATCGACTCAGAATGTGATTCTATGCAGATCATCAAAAGGAACTATGGGTCTATCTCGTTTCCTTCTGCCTGTTACAAACAAATGCACAAAGACATAATACCCTGACCACCTTGTGGTGTAGGGTATAAAAAGAAAAAAAAAAAAAAACAAGTAAAATAGTATCAGTCGGTTTTGCCGACAGATGTATACCCCCAGCCTTTAGTTATGAACGTAACAGATTTGGACTATATCGACTACTTCTTCTACTTTGTATGAGATATGTGCACATTTTCGGAAAATGGAAAAAATAGATATAGCGGACCGAAGTATTCCATTAATCTAATACAGATAAAATATATTGGTATGTGCAAAATTTGAAGGAAATCGAACAATCGTATCCAATCATAAATTCCGACAAATTACATATTCATATCAAAATACTGGTTAAGAGAAATATTTTGATATAGCAAAGAATCGCCGACTTGTTTCGCAAGTTATGACAGTTATAAGTTGGCAGATGTATATCACAACAGATCTTGTGTTAGAAATAATGTCTGTATGTGGGAAACTTGAGGAGATGTATGGATGCATTTGGATCTTTTTTTCGAATTCCTTGAGCGTTTTGTTTTTAAAAATCTTGAACCCTATGTGGGGAGGTACCAGAAAAATGGTCCGATCTCTACAATCTGCATAACAGATCTTGTGTCATGAAAATATTGAGAAGCTTCAAATCTGAATAGAATCGGATGTTAATTTTGCGTTTTACGAGCTTCATGGATACTCAAAAATTTTGACCCTTTGTGGGAGAGGTACCAGGAAGAGTGGACCGGTGTATTCCATTTTGGCACCGGACCTTAGATCTTCCAAGTCTGAATAGTACGGATGTTAATTTTGCGTTTTACGAGCTTCATGGATACTCAAAATTTTGACCCTTTGTGGGGTAGGTACCAGAAGGAGTGGACCGATGTATTCCATCTTAACATCAGACCTTGGGTTGACATAAATATTGGCATGTGTGAAATTTGAAGACAATCACATTTTATAAGAGTTGTAATTATTCAAAATTTTGACCATTTGTGGGGGAGGTACTTGATGGAGTGGACCGATATTGTCTATTTTCACACTTGACCTAGCACTGACGCAAATATTAAGATTTGCAAAGTTGGAGCAAAATCGGATTATCGTTTCTTTTCCTGTTTTTGAAAATTTCGTCCTTTTGTGGGGGTGGTACCAGAAGGAGTGAACCCATCTCTGAACTCGATCTAAGTTTGACAAAAATATTACGATGTACCAAGTTTGGACCAAATCGGATACTCCTTTCGAGAGTTATCGTTCGCACCAGCCAGCCAGACAGACGGACGGACGGACGGCTAGATCGACTCCAAATGTTCTGAAACGGATTTGGTCTAAAGAGACCTGACCGTATCAAATGATATATACCCTCTGTAGCCATATGGCTGAGGGTATAAAAATAGGTTCTGTAAAAATTAAATTTGTTAAACTGTGGAATCTTTAACACTCGACGTATTTCGGCAACATTCATACAAAGTACTTGCTGTACTTGCCGTACAGCTAGTATTCAATCCATATTCAAGATTTTAAATTGGTAATCGAAATGTATTTTGAATTGAATTCTTTTAGAAATAAACTATTCAAAATTTGTAAACTGATATATTTGACTTAAGCCAGTCAAAAAGTGTTTAATGTATTCTCACCTCTAGCCATAGTACGATCTAGTATTGTCGTTGAAACATACCCCGGAATAAAACCATATCACACTCTACAGATCCAGAGCTCATATGATGTATAAAACTGGAAGATGGATGAATATAGAGGTGAGATGGATACACGTTCAAACATAGAATCCACTATAATCTGTAATTTTTCTAAAGGAGCAATACTTAGGTTTCATTCTACGCCGTTTCTTGGACCCGTGCGGGGTGAATAAAAATGACATCTGGGTGGTGGTGAATCTCACAGTTGATAGAAAACCAGTTATTTCCCTCGTATCGGACCATCTTACCAGAATTCAACATTGGGAATAATTTGCCTGAGTTTTAAGGGTTATCCAGAAAACTGTCCAGTCCCTCAGATGTTCGGAGATTAGAAAAAAGGGGTTTCCAGAACATCGTCACAGTGGCAGCAGATTAGTAAAAAAACCAAATATCTGAAGGTAGTAATGGACTTCGGCAGTTGAACACTACTGATCCCAGAGTCGAAAAACTAGCACCAGACGCACAAGTTGCTCAAGGTAGACAAGTAAGTACACTAGAAAGATTAGATGACAGGAATATGGAAATTTCTACAAATAGTCAATAGTCAACGACCAGGTTTTTTACACATGAACATCGGAGATATAAATGCAACTAAACATGCAGGTTGTTAGACAGGCTATTCTCGTTATTAGATATATGGGTTTTTATTAAATTTAATGGTTTTAAGTCACTAATTTATAACATTTATAATTTCTATCAAATTTTCTCATCCCACAGATACAGGGTGGGATTAAAAAAGCTGCAACCAACGTCATGCGGCTTTCATTTCTAAGCCACTCGTCCGGCAGCTGTTAATTCCAGTGACAGCTCATTATATTGTTTACGAGCGTACAAAAGCATTTCGGAGAGAATTTTCCAGAAAAAAAAGAAAACCACAAGTGGAGCACTCCAGCATTTAGATGTGAAAAAATCATTTGTGTCTCGTACCACCACTCGTTACCGTGATACTGGTAGCGGCAACATCATCAAAAATGGTTCGAAAAATAAAGAAGCGACTTTATCGAAACCCGCGTCGCAGTGGACGAAAAATGGCTCGTGATCTGAACATATCGCAATATTCCATTCGGCAAATATTTAAAAATGATCTCAGGGCGAAGCCATTGAAATTCCAAAAAGTGAAGGAACTTACACCGCAACATATAAAAACAGACTCCAAAGAGCTAAGAGTTGCTTCGCTTGGCCAAAAGTGGGGAACTGCCGAATTTGTTTTTCTCCGATGAGAAAAAAATTCGTTGTCCAGCAGTTTGTAAACAAACAAAATGATCGCGTTTACTTGTCAAAGAGGTCAGGTGAAAGTGTGCACCTTCGGTTGGCCACAAGAACTCAAGCGCCGGCAATGGTGATGGTGTGGGTCGCCATAACAGCCGATGGTCGCTTTCCGCTTGTATTAGTCGACCGTGGCATCAGAATAAATGCCGAATGTTATCGCGAAAATATTCTGGAAGGTATATTAAAGCCTTGGGCACGCAAACATTTTGGCCGCAGACCTTAGACTTTCCAACAGAACTCAGCACCATCGCACGCGGCAACCAAGAATGTTTATAAAATGAAGATCCTCGCTTCATTTCCAGCGCACAATGGCCACCAAAATCTCCGGATACCAATCCGTTGGACTATTGTGTCTGGAGTATTTTGGAAAGCAAGGTTGGAATTAAAAAATACCAAAGTATCGATCACCTCAAGCAAACGCTTCACCGGGAATGTGCCGAAATACCGCATAGCAACATTAGGGCAGCGTATGATGGTTTCATTGGGCGTTTGAAGGCCATAATTCTTGCCAAAGGTGACCAATTCGAAAAAATCTAAACTTATTCTGAAATTTGATGCTATTTTAGACATTTTTTGCTTTCATTCAATAAAATTTAAAAAGAAAATGAAAAAATTATGACGTTTGACTTTAATTCCGAGGTATGTTTACATCGAAACCTCTCATTTCAAATTACAACACAAGAAAGATAAGTTTCGGCGCTTTGCAATGTAGCAACGCACCATTTGTATTTGCAGCACATTTGCTCTACACTGTACATAAGGAAGTACTATTGTTTAAATGTTGCCTAAGGAGATGATGATCGATTGTTCGTATTTTTCTGGCCCAAAAAATGCATGTCTTTAACCTCCCATCCAAACTCGATACTCTAGTTTCAAATTAACAAAAAAAAAAACTAAAAATATAAATAAAATTCTTAAAAACTCTGAACTTTCAAGTTCACTGTGTGGCGTTTTTTATGATGGGATCATGAGATGGGATTTTCAAAAAGAGGGGGTCTTTTTGGACGGTTTTCTTGTGTGACAAATGTAGTGATTGTGTGTAAAGAGTGCGGGCCAAAGGCATGTATGCGAGAAAAAGTGAGAGTGGTATATCCATAAGATACAAAAAACATTTGTTGTTGGCACATATCGAATGCTGTCTTTGGCGTTGGCTTCAGTATGTTTTTGGAGCTGCTTGTGTAAAGATCACTCATTTGTAAATACCGTCTACCCTCTCGAACAATTGGCTGACTGCCTGTTTGTGTGAATTGCCAGCATGAAGTGTTTTATTGTTTTATTGATATTCGTTGCAATTAATGGAATTGTGGCAGCGGCAGATGATTCAAATATTGCCAATCAACACAATATCCAGACCCAATCATTGCGTAAGTGTAAAGTGAATGTTCGCGGTTGTTTGAAAACGAATTGATAAATTTTAACACTTTCTTTAATGTAGCCGGCAATATTGCTGTCGATGAGGTCGTTGTCGAATCATCACTGTACATCAAACCCAAACCTCGCCCTCAATTGAGACGCACGCGTAATGCTATTTTTGCAGAATTTAACAATAACATTGTACCGCTGATTTTACATCGTCGTGTCAAGCGCCAGTTTCAACAATCGCAAGCCATTTCTAATGCGGCCGCCAATCAAAACTATGCATCACCCTTTGGCTTCCAAAGTTCTGCTGCCAATGCACAAGCTCAGGCCTTCAATGCTCAAGGACCATCCGGTTCATTTGGTGCCTCGGCGGCTGGCACCGGTACTCAGGCCTTGAATTTGAATCGTTTTGGCGCACAAAATTCTGCTGGAGCCTCGCATAGTTTGAATTTCAATTTGCCAAATGGTCAGACGATTAATTTTGCTTCTACCAACAGTTTTGCCAATGGTCCGGCTGGCAATACCGCCAACAGTCGAGGTAGTTCAGTGTCAGTTAATTAAAATTTGAATTTGTCAATACTTTGCAACAAAACACTCAATAATATTATTTATAACAATTTTTTGTTCTTTGTTTCAAAATTAACTCTAAAACACTGTTAAATCCTAATCTAGTTTCAAATGGTAACGAACTTAAGACATATCAATATATCGTAGTGAAATTTTGGGACTTAATTAATTCATACGAAAAAAAATTGGTGCTAAATAAATTGAATATTCATTAATAAACGGTTTGTTGTTATTTTTGTTTTGAAAATAGGGCTCAGGCAATATCTAACAAACAGTTAGATAACTTTAAAAAAAACAGTAAAGAAAGTCCTAAAGTCGGGCGGGGCCGATTTTATGATACCCTACACCACTTTGCTAATTTAGTTGAGCTCCACATAACAAGTAAAAGTTTTTATGGGAGAATTCAATCATACACCCCATGATTATAATTATAATTTAAAATTTAAAGGACTAAATACGCCGAAGCATTTGTAACTTTAAAATTTGGCAAAGATATTTCTAAGCTGTATTTGATATATTTCCCTGAATATCCTTGTTACGGAGTGCATATTACGGCTGTGGGTAACAAATACAACAAATCGGATGAATAATATATATGAGAGCTATAGCTATATCTGAACCGATCTTCACCAAATTTGGCGTACTACCTTCTAGAATCAATTCGGTCGTATGTGCCAAATCCCATCCCATTTGGACAAATATTAGACGTTTGGTGCACAATAAAAGATAAATCGGACGAAGTTATATATGGGAGCTATATCCAAATCTGAACCGATCTCGATAAAATTTAGCAAATGTATTTCTGAGCTGTATTTGATATATTTCCCTGAATATTGTTGTTACAGAGTGCATATTACGGCTGTGGAGGACAAAAATAACAAATCGGATGAAAAATATATATGGGAGCTATAGCTATATTTGAACCGATTTCGATCAAATTTGGCATACATATTTTCAGCCCTAATTTGGGTGTATATGCAAAATTCCATACAATTCGGGCTGATATTACACGTTTGGTGCACAATAAAAGGCAAATCTGACGAAGATATATATGGGAGCTATATCTAAATTTTGACCGATTATCTCCAATTTCAATAGGGTTCGTCCTTGGGCGAAACAAATGTTGTGTGCAAAATTTCATCTCAATCGGATAATAAATGCGACCTGCATTTTGTTCACAAGAATACATGAACAGACGGACTGACATGCATAAATCAACTCAGAAAGTGATTCTATGCAGATCATCAAAAGGAACTATGGGTCTATCTCGTTTCCTTTCGCCTGTTACAAACAAATGCACAAAGACATAATACCCTGACCACCTTGTGGTGTAGGGTATAATGACCACCTTGTGGTGTAGGGTATAATAGTATATAAAAGTAGCCTGGTGGGAAATAACATTATCGGGCCGCGACGAATATTTAGTCTTTTTGGAGAGAACGATATATCTGCGTGTCAGTAAAAAACTATCTATCTTATTATAGATTTTATCGACATCCAATTCTGACCAAAGCTGAAAATGTTACAGTGAAAAATGTTAAATTCAGTGATATGGATGCAAATCGAATGCATTAAAAACTTGAAATAGTACAACTTATAATGATTCTGAATGGACTTCTTCAAAAAGGTGATATGTAAAACAACTTCCTTTTTATTTGATTTAAAATTATGGGTTGAATAAAAATGACACCTGCGTGGTGGTGAATGTCACAGTTGATAGAAAGCCCGTTATTTCCCTCGGATCGGACCATCTTACCAGAATTCAACATTGGGAATAATAATTTGCCTGAGTTTTAAGGGTTCGAAAAATAAAGAAGCGACTTTATCGAAACCCGCGTCGCAGTGGCCGAAAAATGGCTCGTGAGCTGAACATATCGCAATATTCCGTTCGGCAAATATTTAAAAATGATCTCGGGGCGAAGCCATTGAAATTCCAAAAAGTGAAGGAACTTACACCGCAACACATAAAAACAGACTCCAAAGAGCTAAAGAGTTGCTTCGCTTGGCCGAAAGTGAGGAACTGCCGAATTTGTTTTTCTCCGATGATAAAAAATTCGTTGTCCAGCAGTTTGTAAAGAAACAAAATGATCGCGTTTACTTGCCAAAGAGGTCAGCTGAAAATGTGCACCTTCGGTTGGCCATCAGAACTTAAGCGCCGGCAATGGTGATGGTGTGGGTCGCCATAACAGCCGATGGTCGCTTTCCGCTTGTATTAGTCGACCGCGGCATCAGAATAAATGCCGAATGTTATCACAAAAATATTCTGGAAGGTGTATTAAAGCCTTGGGCATGCAAACATTTTGGCCGCAGGTCTTAGACTTTCCAACAGGACTCAGCACCATCGCACGCGGCACCCAAGAATGTTTATAAAATGAAGATCCTCGCTTCATTTCCAGCGCACAATGGCCACCAAAATCTCCGGATACCAATCCGTATAATTCCGGGGTATGTTTACATCGAAACCTCAGTAAAAAAAACTATCTATCTTATTATGGATTTTATCGACATCCAATTCTGACCAAAGCTGAAAATGTTACAGTGAAAAATGTTAAATTCAGTGATATGGATGCAAATCGAATGCATTAAAAACTTGAAATAGTACAACTTATAATGATTCTGAATGGACTTCTTCAAAAAGGTGATATGTAAAACAACTTCTTTTATATTTGATTTAAAATTATGGGGAGTGTCTAGATGTGTGTAACAAAACTGCTACAGATATTTGTGGAAGAAGTCACTTTACACATGATCAATTTATGTAACAGATCTTTTGTTACCGACTTACAGTGGGGTGCGATCCCCAAAAACGAAGATTAGCATCAGGGAAGCATTCTATGGCATTTATATTACTCCTAGTATGATTGGTATTAATAATGGGACATATCGGTCCACATTTCGGCAAGGCCCCCATATAGCGTTAATTCCTGAATTTCTGTATTTTGAATATTTTGACCACAATTTTAAACTAAAGCATGTGTAACTTGACATTTATAGTTCGGAGTAGATATAATCTCTCCTTGCTAAAAAATTTTTTCGAAACACAATTGTAAATCCATTCATGAGTAACTTGACATTTTGAGTTTAGAATTGACAGAATCTCACCCTGCTTAATTTTGTTAAGATTGTTCCACTATTATATATTGACCATATATGACGGTACTTAGGTATTTTGAAAATGTCTCTCTGAAAAATATTGTGAAGTAAGTCCACTTTTATATTAGGTATTTGGAGGTTTCAGACAAAGATTTTTTACAAACTTATTATTTGGCTTTTTATTTCTCAGTGGATAAAAACTAAAAGAAATACCAATATAAAACCACCCATAAAGTAGGTCTCTCTATGGGCCAATAGGTTTAGATCCTCAAAATCAGAGATAAATTCAAAAGAAGCATTTCGTTGCATGTTTTTTTTATACCCTCCACCTTGGAAAGGAGGGTATATTAACTTTGACATTCCGTTTGTAACATCCTTAAATATTCGTCGTAGACCCCTTAAAGTATATATATATATTAATAGTCAGCATAAATTCTAAGTCGATTTAACGATGTCCGTCTGTCTGTCTGTCCGTCTGTCTGTTGAAATCACGATACAGCCCACAGTATTTGACGTAGAGCGCCAAAATTTAGCAGAGCAATTTGTATTATGTCTAGGATGGTTGGTATTGAAAATGAGATATATCGGTCCACGTTCTGGTATTGTCCCCATATAACGGTACCTCCCGATATTCGGTATTTTGATAATTTATGCCACATTTTCTCACGGATTTGTCTGAAATTTGGTATTTGTAGGTCATAACGGGTCCCTGTGTGTGTGGCAAAACATTGCATGTATAGGTCCACGTTTTGATATAGCCCCCATAAAAAGGTACCTCCCGATATTCGGTATTTTAATTCTTTTTTGCCACACTTTTTCACGGATTTGGTATTTTTTGGTCATAATGGGTTCAAGCTCGGGAGGCGAAACATTGCATGTATGGGTGCATGATTTGGTATAGCCCCCATATAACGGTACCTCCCGATATTCGGTATTTTTATGGTTTTTGCCACATTTTTTCACTGATTTGTCTAAAAATTGGTATTTTTGGGTAATAATGGGTCCTAGTATCACGTATGTATCACGTTTTGATATAGTCCCCATATAACGGTACCTCCCAATATTCGGTATTTTGATGATTTTTGACACATTTTTTCAAGAATTTCTCTGAAAGTTGGTAGTTGTAGATCAAAATGGTTCCCATGTCGTGTGGCGAGTCATTGTAATTATTGGTCCACGTTTTGGTATAGCCCCCATATAACGGTACCTCCCGATATTCGGTAATTTGATGATTTTTGTCACATTTTTTCACGGATTTGTCTGAAAAATGGTATTGATAGGTCATAATGGGTTCTAGCTCCTTTAGCGAAATATTGCATGTGTAGGTCCACGATTTGGTATAGCCCCCATATAACGGTACCTCCCAATATTCGGCATTTTAATGGTTTTTGCCACATTTCTTCTAATGTTTCCTTTACCCTAAGGTGGAGGATATTAAAAGTTTGGCCCGGTCGAACTTAATGTTTTTTTACTTGTTAATTTTCATATCAGCAACAAATAACAAAATTGAGTTAAGCCAGAAAAAATAATTAACCATTTGAAAGCCTTCTTAAATTTGAAGACAAAAAACTATTTTTTTTTGTATAAGAAAGGAATAATGATAAAAATATATATAAAAATTTGCCTTCCTATCTGAAATTGACACAAACCTTATTAATATATTTAAAAAATATGTAGCAGATTATTAAAAAATCATGAATAGTGTGTTCTCCCTTAAATCTCTCTCATTGTCCTAAATTGGATTATCAGTCAAAGTTAAAGGTGGGGAAGGTAACCTAACCACTGATTTTTAAAGAAACTGGATTATTTTTACATGGTTTCGAATAGGATAAAAACGCAAGAGAAATTGATTTAAAAAGAACAACAAAAAGAAAAAAACAAACAAAGCAGAGAACTAATCAGATGATGAAGGAGGGATATAAGAACAAGTTGTAAACAATTTTAATTTGCTTATTTCAATGGAAACTCCACTAAACTCTATTTCAAGAAAACAATTTAGATCGATTGAATTAGCAGTGTATTTGGCATTAACTGCTATAAGGACGCCACCACTTTTTTTACAACCACGATATTTTCTAAATATTTGATATTTCGAATATAGAATTTCACTAGTTAATATAGATGTT